ATATAATTATAAGATAAATATTATATTTTATAAATCTTAAATATTATTTAAAAATAATATAGTCTAATATATTAAGAGAAAGATTATTAAAAATAATAATAGTATAAACTAAAATCTTTAAGCATTCTATTAGATAATCTTATAAGATATTAAATAGGTAAAGTAAAGAATAAAAATCTATTATAATAAAAAGTATAAGGATATATCAATCTTTAAAAAGAAAAGAAAGTTTATTTTCTATAATAAATTATAGAATAGAAAAATTTTAATATTCTAAATAAAAGATTAAGTAATAAACTTAATATAATTAAATATAGATCTTTTAAAGTTAAAAAAAATTTATTAATAATAATTATAAATTTTAATTATTAATAAGAATAAAAATATATTTAATATTTTATATCTTATTATTAGAATCTATAGAAAACCTAAAGAATAATAAAGATAAAATTAATAATAATAAATTTAAGATTAACTTTATTAAAAAATAGAAGTTAGAATAAGAAAGAATCTTTTATTTAATTAAATAGATAAAATATGGATTTGATTATGATTTATAGAAATCAGTTAGGCATTTAAATTATTTAAAAAAAATTTAAGTTTTCTATTATTAAAGAACTTAAAAAGTAAGGAGTTAAAAGGATTATTTTTAAATAATTTAAAATAAGCTTAAAAAGTAATAGTAACTATTTTATTAATTTATTATTTAGTTAATTTTCTTTATTTTTTCTTTTGTTTTTATTTTTTCTTTTCTTTTTATTCTTTTTTTTTAATCTTTTTAGTTTAGTAATATTCTGTATATCTCTTACTATAAAGTTATTAATATGTTTCTAAAGAAGATTATTCTATAGCTTTAGATGATAAAGTTTCTCAAAAGTCTTCTTTTTCTGGATATAGATTTGATTTTAAATAATTATGAGCTGCTATCACTCTTTATTAGAAAAAGAAGTTTTTAATTCAATATATTTTTGATTTAAGTGAGTATATTCATTATAATAAAAAGATTCTTTAACTATTATATAAGATTTATTTAAATTTATATAATGAATATAAAGAATAATTATTTTAAAATCTTTGTTCTTTAAGCAATCAGTAAGTTTTGATTTTTAAATATAAGATAGTTTCTTTAAAGATATAATTAGATTATCATTATAAATATAGGAATTTATAAAATAAGGATACTTACTTAAAAATATAGATATAGCTAATTATTTATTGTATTATTAGGATGCCAGTCTTTAAGAAAGAAGATTATTATAAGAATTAATAAATTATAGCTAATGAATATTATAGTAAATATTATTATATAAGTACTTAATAAAAATTAAGTAATAATAAATGAAATTGTTATTAAATATAATTATATATTATAAGAATGATATTAAAAATAGTTATATTTTTAATTTAATTATAGCTATTGATAAAGTAATATAGATATTATATATTGATATTTTATTTTAATATATACTAAGCATATAACTTAGTAAAGTAGAACTTCAATATATAGAAGCATGATTTCTATATAATGAAGCAATAATTCTAGATATTAAAATATGATTTTAATATCTTTTAATATATATAGATACTTATTTATTATTATATATTTAGTTAATTATTTTTTATTTTTATCTTAAATAATATATTACTATTTAATATTTAATAATCTTCTTACTATTATGATTATTTTTGATAGATAGCTTTTTGATATTGATCTTATATTATTCTTTTATCTTATGTTAGCAGAATATCCTTTAAGATCTCCGATCTTGAGACGAGTTGTTGACAACTTTTGACATATCTAATCTAAAAAGTAACTCTATTATATAATATTATATTTAACTTGTTTCTATATATATTATAATGTTACATCCCACTAAAGCTAGTAAAGCATTATTATAATAACTAAATATAACTCTGATACTTTCTTAATCACAGGTTATTTTCTAGTATTTCTTAAGTGTGCTATCTAAATCTATTAGATATATTAAATAATCTACTAAAGATCCTATTAAGACTACATTACAGTTTAAATATGCTACAAAGAATAATTATTCTAAGAATAATGAATATATAAAAAGCAGTTAAAGATGATACAGCAGCTTTGTCTTAACTAAAAAGTCTTAACTGAATTTATTTAATATATAGAAGTCTTACTGATAGTATTAGTATTGAATTTATTAAGATATATTTATATTATAATCTTATTATTACTCATTTTTAATTCACAGTAAACAGGCTAAGTATAAGAAGCAGATATAGTATAATTGTAACAGGGATAGATCCAGGGAGCATGTTCAAGCCTAACCCGACAGGACCGGGGGGCTCAGGGATACCCTGGGGTCAATTATGATATATCATAATTAATATCATAAGACCCTGATTATAATACTAGTATCCCTCATCTCACTATATATACCTTTATCTAGTTAGATTAGATATTAATAATCTAAGATAAAGATTCAGATATATAGACTTAATTTCTCACTTAAAAGAAAGAAATTAAGTAATATTTTTTATATAATCTTTAATATAACTTTCAGTATAAGTTTACTCAGCTTTGAATAGTCTTTAGCTTAAAGCTTTTTCTAATTATATAATCTAAATCGATAACTCTCTCTCTAGTAGCATTGCTCTATAGCATTAATATCAATTGATGAAGCTTTAACTTACCCACATCGAGTCTATCCAGACACCCCCGGACACGGTCCTGCCAGACCGTGTTACAATAATATATTAAATATTGAGATAAAATTATTTTTATCTTATTATAATGATTATTTTATTAAAAAAAATTATATTCTTAATATATAATAGAACATTATTATAAGATTAAATTTTTATTTTTCTATTTTAATAACTTTACATATATTCTACTATCTATATATTAATTAATAATTTCTTATAGTATAGTAAATATAATATATATAATTTAAATCTATTATATTATTTTAATATTAATTTTTTTATCTTTTAACTTCTAGTAATAAATATAAAAGTTCTTTTAATCAATTTTAAAGCTATTAATAATATTAATATTCTTTAATTTATAATTTTTTTCTTTTATATATGAGATTTAAAGTCTATTTTAAAAATTAAAATATAATACTTTAAGATGTATTTTATAGAACATTTTTTAGATTATTTTATATTGAATTAGTAGACTTTTTAGTAGTTTTTATTAATATTATTAAAAGGATCTATAAAGCACTAATAGTTAATAATAATAATATTTTTAATAGTATAAATAGATTTTAAAAAAAACATTTAGATATAATTTTGAATCTCTAGCTTAGTTAGATCTATATTAAATCTATTTAAGTATAAGAAATTAAATAGAGAGTCTATATTATTCTTTATATTAATAAGATCTATAGTACAATACTAATAATAATTATAGATTATCTTGCTTTTACTTAATTAATATAGATTAGACTATCACTAAAGAAGTAAAAAAAGAAAAAAGTATAAAAGATAAAATAATATTAAATATAAATATAATTACAATACTCAATTATAAATAAACAATAAAAAGCTAAAAAGATAAAGAAAAGAATTCTATATAAGATATTTATAATTAGAAAGATTGTAAAAGTCTTTATTAGGCTGTCATTTGGTTCGGTTCTGGTCCTGAGTTTCTGAACCAAACCCAAAAGTGGATCAGTTCAATTTGATCTTTAATATTAGAATTAGAACTGAAAATTAAATAGTTCTAACTCTCTAAACTAAAACTAAACCACACTAAAAAAGAATTATTAATTATGGTTAGATTAATCTAAATCTAATTAGTTTTTATTCAAATAATTAAATTATATTAAAGAATTTTTAATTATAGTTAGATTTTATTCTTAAAAATATATTAAAATCTTTCTAAATTTTAATAAATTAGATAGATAAATAATATAAAAATTAAAATTAATTATTTAAATTATAATTTTTTATCTAATTATTAAAAATATATTTAAAAAATAAATAGATAATAATAAATACTATAAAATAGATATAAAAATATATATATATATTTTCAATTAATTATTTAAATTATAATTTTTTATCTAATTATTAAAAATATATTTAAAAAATAAATAGATAATAATAAATACTATAAAATAGATATAAAAATATATATATATATTTTCTTTAATAAATAGATTAACTATATAATATAATTTAAAAAATATAAATAAAAAATAGAAAAGATATTATTACTATTTAAATAATTCTTAAATTATAATTAAAATATTAAGAATTTATTATAATATTTATAAAAATATTTAAAATAAAGTCCTAATTCAAAAAATAAGAATTCAATTTATAAAAAGCTATTTTGGAAATAATTATATAATTAATAATAATTATAAAGAATTAGAATTAACTCTCAATATTTTAATATTATTAATGGAAATCTATTAATATTCAGATATTCAGATAAAACTGAATCAAAAATTCAAATCGAACTAGATCTAAATGGGCCCTAAAAAACCATATAGTCCTGGACTTAGTGAATCAAACCACATCGGTTCACTGTATATAGGACTAGAAGGTGCCAATCCAGCCGTTACAGACTATATTAAAACCCTTTATTTTTCTTGAACAATTGGATCGGTAACCAAGTCTTAAATCCAATGCGATTTAGTACACAGAATTTGCAATTATTTACAGATAGTTCAATTTAAGTACGAATAATTAAAAATATATAAAGCAGTTTAAAAGAATTGTCAAGAATTGTCAAGAATGGAACCCCATTCTTAAATCAATATTTCGGCCTAGTGCGATCCTTTCTTTCCATTCCTATCCTGTTTTTCGCCTTGCTGAAGGTTCTTTCCGGCATGTATGCAAAGGCTTATCATTGTATTTTTCTCATCTTTACAGTACTATAGCTTGTTGTATATTCATACCATGAAGCCTCCCAAGAAGTTAGTCTTGTATCGATACAAACTACAGCTCTGCATGGACCAAACAGACAGCGTGATGCAGGAAGGGAATTTTCAGCAGATGCCCTTTCACTTGTGTACTCGGTCCACAAAATTTTGCGTCAATCCGTGCAGTGATGGGGTAGACGTAATATCCACCGTTGACATTTCCACACCTAAAGTTACTTGCACCCAGTTGCGGAACTGCATCGCGGATAGAGAGTCTAATCCGTAAGATGCCAGTGACTTTGCTGGGTCTAGTGTCTCCTCGCCTGTCTGAAGTACCTGCATCAACTTCACGTTAAAGGCATTTAATGCTGCGGTTACGAGTACATCTCGTTTCACTTCATCATTTTTCTGAAGGATGGCAATTAACTTTGTAGTAAGATCATCATAACCAGAGCCGGAGTCCGTCCCAGATACTTTAGCACTGTCACGGGTAATGATAGTGCTGAACCTTGGGTCCCGGTGGTATATCAATCCTTCTCCGGTTACTAGAATAGGCGACTTTAAGCCCGTGATTAGCTGTGGGGTTCCGCCTCCAGATCCAGTGGTCTGCTCCAGGATCGAATCTTGAATGATTCTATCCAGGTCACGCTCTTTGAAAAATACGAGTATGCCTTCGCCAGCAACTTGCTGTTTGACTAGTGTGCTTTCTGTCATGTAGCCCACATCTTCAACCAGCGAGAGATCAATTGCGTTTCCGGCCAATCCCAAGCTGTGGCGATACGTAGCTAAGGCATCTTGGAAATGATTTCCAGCAGCATAGCTGGCATTACCTTTCAGACCAATGACAGCAGAGAGGCTGGAGAGCATGGTGAAAAAGTCGAGCTCCAGCCCTAGATTCAGCGCTGCAGTGTGTAGGTTCCAGCTTCCAGCCACCTTTGGCGCAATTGTAGCGGCAAAATCTGTTGCGCTTGTGTTTTCGAAAACATTACCCTGATAAGCAACGACGTGAGTGAGTTGCCACAGTATAGTATACAAGATGTGTGACACTTACAATTGGAACCATTGCTCCATGAATAATACCAGCAACTGGCTTGAGTCCCGCAGTTATTGCACGCTCCACATCCCCAAGCTGGCATACGTCTCCCCGAATGACGACAACCTCGCACCCCATGTGTCTTAGGCGGGCGAGGACACTTTGTGAGCGAGAGTCATCACAGGCAGAGCGTGACATGATCACGAGATGCCTTGCCCCAGCCTTGACCATATAGAAGGCAATTCGACCGCAGATTCCTTTGAGTCCACCAACGACAAGGTATGAGGCGTCTGGGCGAAGCTGTACATTGGGCTGGGCAGATCGAATAGGGACCATGCATTTGGATTTTCCATAGGAGCAAGAAAGCACGACTTTACCAATGTGAGATGCTTTTGCGAGATATCTGAATGCACCCTGTACATCATTGAATGGGAACAGAGTGGTAGGCCTTAAAGGTTTGATATGTCCTTTTATGACCAAATCATGGATTCGGTTGAGAATTCTGTATTTTTCACATGAGCTTGAATTATAATGGGAAAGCAGTGCAGCGACATGAGAATGGGGAATTGATACCCTTTCATCAGCTCATCAGTAATTTGTTTGTACGAAAGATCAACAGCTCTGAAAGAACAGTTTCGGTCAAACGGCTCCATGGAAATAGACTTTCGGTCTCTGATATCTCGCTTCCCCAACTCGACGAATATACCTCCATCCGCACATATTCTCCAAGATTCATGTAGCAGATCTCCAACCAGAGTGTTGAGTATAAGGTCAACCCCAAGCCCTCTAGTTTTCTTCATGATAGCACTCGCGAACTGCGTGTCTCTGGAGGAGAATATACGATCACGAGGTATATCATGTTCTTCAACGAGAAAATCAACTTTCTCCTGTGTGCCCACTGTGGCGAATATCTGTAAAGCATTTAGCCCATGCTGGCTCGGGAGGAGGTGGTTTGTTACGTCTGCGCCAATATATCGCGCAACTTGTATGCAAGATAGACCCAGGCCACCCGCGGCAGAATGGATTAGGACGGTCTAGAATTTCCAGTTGTAAGTATGCGGTTTACTATGAGGTAAAGGATACTTTTCGAGCTATACGTACTTGACCTGATCGAAGGTTACCAATAGTAAGCATGCTATAAATAGCCGTGGAAAAACAAACTGGCATGGTCGCCGCGTCCTATTTTAGCGGGGTTAGGCTTGGTTCTGATAGAATGAAGTTTTGTCACTTGAAACAAGGTTTTACCTCTAAAGAAATACTGTCCGGTATCCGTTGGACTCTTCCTTGAGGTACCTGGATCCGATTACCCAGACAACCACTGTGTATCAACATGACGCGATCCCCAATATGGAAATCTTGAACGTCCGCGCCCACACGTCTGACTACTCCCGCTCCTTCAGACCCCAGGGTATGTTCATTCTCATCAACAACACCCATGACTATCGCAACGTCCTGTGATGAAGAAAATTAGCAAAATGTGAGGTCGTAGAGTATTCTTTAGGATGTGTGTGAAATGATTACTTTGAAGTTCATCCCGACAGCCCTTATATCGACCTCCACATGCCCGTCTTTGACAGCCAGCATTGGAGAAGCTCTTTCAATGAACTCGAGGGAATCAAGAGCACCCAGGCTACCACACTGAAGACCAAAGCATTTTTCACTGTCATCAAAGCCTTGTAGCGAATTGCTGGCCTCTTTATTGTGATGAAATTCCGTCTCGTGCGGGATAATCCGGCTGATGTGAATTACTCCTCCACGCTCAACAAACTCGGACTCTAGTTGTGTGGTGGACGGAGGCCTATCCAGATACTGGAGTATGAGGACAATGGTGGAGAGCGATGCCATTGCGGAAGACTCCAAGTCCAACGTTATCAAAGTACATTGTGGGTTTTCAGCCCTAATCGTTCTGAACAACCCATGCACCAATGCTGTGTCAGGTTGACGGACTTTGTGCTGAGATTCTTCTGTAACCCACAAAAGCTTGCTGTTGGATCTCGTCAAGGCCTTCAAGCCATCCCATTGCTCATGTGAGGGATTTGTCAGGAGAGGCGATTGAAGCTCGTCAAGGACAAGTATCAGGTCATCTCGCGGGATTTTGTCGAAGGGAAGGTGATGCTCTACCATAGTATAACCGGCCTCTTCTAGTATGCCTCTAAGTTTCTCCGGGATCAATATAGATGCGGAGAAATGGGGAATGTGCAAATATTTCTCATTTTGAATGCTGTTGCTTTGATGATTTGAAGTGCAAAACAGAGCCTGGAAACTTGCGATTTGGGGCGTCAAGATCTCATGAAATTTCAATTGAGAGTTGCTCAACGCCTGACACATCGTTTCGTTTATGATACCATTTTCAGAGTCATCACTCAATTTATGGTCTTCAAATGAAACAGGAGATGTTTTTGAAACCTGATTATGGTCGATCAGTAATATACATCCCTTGCCCGAGAGGTGAGAGTTGAGTTTCTCCATTGCCAGTTGAACTTTGTTTCGCTTAGTTGGCTCGTTGATGCTAACGAAAATAATATCAAGCTCCTCGGCGATATCGAACTCTGGAGCGTCCACCTGGAACTTGGCAATTTGAACGCACTCTCGAGTGCCCAGTGATTCTCTCGCCTCCTCCAGGTGAGGGAGATTGGAATAAAAAATTGAGCATGATTTGTAGTCCTCCCGCGGAGTACAAAGATGATCACTCAGCCAAATACTAGCCTCCTGAGATTGGCCAAAATTCACTTCGGCTATCTTGGACGGTGACCATTTGTGTATGATCATATCGATTAATTCCTGTATCTTTCCCGCTGCTGTAGGCGCGCTCAACGACAAGCATTTATCAGCTAAAGAGATGTCTGGTTTCCAAGAGATCTTGTGGTATTTGGAATTTGTCTTCTGATCATTAGCCAGTATAGGAGCCTGCCGTAACCCTTCAGCACGAAGCGCAAGTCGGTTGTCGTCTTTACGGTACGCCAAGACAGACCCGGTGTAACTTTTCAGGAGATCTGGGCGCCCTCTACCACTATATTCTTTGGTCGAAAGACAAATTACCTCCCCACCCTGCTTTAACGGCCACTCATTAATCTCAAGTGAGTCGATTGAGAGGATCACTGCCGGCTGTTTTAGGCTAGTGATATCACCCTCCCATGATGCGGCAATTATGGTCTGGAGGCAACCGTCTAGAGCACAGGGATGAATAGGGTATGGAGATTCTTTTGATGAGTCCATGGGCCCATCTAGCGATACCAGAGACCGGGCCTCCAGGGAGCCTCCTAAGACCTCCACAGCTTCTATCTTCTGGAAGGTAGGCCCATAACCGTATCCAGTGTCTGCGAAGCTTTCGTAGCAACGACTCTGTGAAACAATATGTTCAAGGGGTCTCATGTTGGCTTCAGACGAGACTAGGGAATGATCAGTTATCTAGAAACAGAAAAAAAGAAGTACTGCAGCCTTACATTCGGTGGGAGCATGGCAGCGGGTTATTTGCCCGGAACAATGCTCTATCCAAGAAGACTCCTGCAGAGAGGAAATCTGGAACCCATACCAAACATCACCATCCAGTGGCTGCAGCGTGAGAAGATGCTGCAACTCCCGTGTATCATCATTCAATGGCAGCGCCTTCTTGAATGAAATATTGCGTAGCTTAAACTGAGCATTATAATTCTCACTATTTGGCTTGTAAGTATCCAATGCAATCATCATCTGCCGGACAGCTTCCACAGCCATAGCAACGTAGCCAGCGCCCGGGAAAAGAACACTTCCTGCAAGCTGGTGATCCTTAATCCAACTAACATCACAGAGACGGAAGGTCCTTTTCCATGATGGACGATCCCATGAACTACCGATAATTTTAGTCCCTAACAGCTCATGATGTGGAAATAGTCGCATCCTCCAGTCCTTACTCGACTGATTTTCGTGCCAGTGTTTGATAGAATGATCCCAGGCATAGTTGGGCAAGTCCACAATGTGACAAGGATTCGCGGATGCCGTCTGGTTTACCTCGTCAAGAGCAATGGGAGCACCAGCGAGATATAGGCATCCCGCAAGATCAAAAATCCCTTCAATGGGGTTGTTACTTTTCACGAATGCCGGATGATACTGAGCACAAGACTTATCCCCAAAAATATTTGCCTGTATTTGAGCAACCGGGCCCTTTAATGCGTTGGAGGGTCCAAGCTCAATCAACATAGTAGGAGCATTACCGTCTGAGAGCATATCGCTGCAGGCTTGTGTGAATTGAACTGGGAGCATCATGTTGTTCTTCCAATGATCATTGTGGAAAATAGTGTCCAAGCGGTGGCCAGAGACTGTTGAGAACATCTTGACACCGTGCTTTCCAATTTTCGCTGTAGGTGGATTACGTTGGACGAAGTCCGCAAACATTTCCGCAGTTGGTTGAATGAACCGCGAGTGGTAGGCTTTATTTATGTTCAGTAGCCGACAAAAATGTTTATCAGCCTCCAGTCGTTGCTTCAAATTGACCAAAGCATCTATTGTACCTGACAATGTGATGCTACTGGGACTGTTGAAACAGGCTATCTGGACCCAGTCTTCATAGCCTTGCAAATATTCCTGCACATTGTCTGGACCAAGGCCTACAGCTAGCATTCCGTATGGTTTGTCAGAATTATTCTGACAAAATTGCGTTGAATGGCCACGGTAAAAAGCTATTTTGATTGCTTCTTCTTTGGTGATGAACCCAGCAGTATAAGCAGATGCTACTTCGCCGGCCGAATGTCCAACGACGCTTTGAGGACAGATACCCCAGCTCTCCAGTAAGCATACCAAAATGATCTGGATTGCTGTAAGAAGAGGTTGGGATATAGCAGGCACGTCGGGCGCTTTGGGGTCTTGGGCTTGGATGAACTTCTCTGTAGCCGGGCATCAGTATTTTACCTTCCAGCTCTACTACGGACAAAATTACCAAAGAGAGACCAGCTGGGAGAATTTTCAACGCTCTGAAGTACGCGGTCCAATTGCCTTAGGATGTTCTCCGCAAGCGGGAAGGTGCGAACAAGATCTCTTCCTAATTTGCCAGGCCACTGAGCACCCTGTCCTGTAAAGACAAATGCAATTCTTGGGGAATTTAGGCTCGGCTTGCCTAAAGCAAATGACTCCATGTTTAACTTTGAAGTTGAGGTCACCGCGTAGGCACGGAATGGGAAATGTGTTCTCCGAGCAGCCAGTGTATACGCCAAATCTTCAACCTTAAGCTTCACTTCCATATGGGCCAGATGGCGAACCAATCTTTGACAATTTCCCTCAACGGAACTTTGATCAGCGCCGGAAAGGGGTATAATGTAAGGTCGAATTGTGGGGCTTTCGTCATCATCATCGGCAAAGATGTCGACGGTGGATGAGTACGATGAGACATGAGATGTGCCTATGAAACCGTTCAAATACGGAGTAGCCTCATCGACAATAACATGGGAGTTTGATCCGCCATAACCAAAGGAATTGACTCCAGCCCTGCGAACGGGAACGGAAGGCCACGGTCTTGCCGTATGCGAAGGCAGCATTCTTAGCTTTTCGAAATCAACTGCAGGAGATTGAGCTGCTTTTCTTCAACAAAGATATTCTTCTAGCTTACGATCGGGGTGAGGTGTCAACAAAGTAGGATTGCCCGGTATTATGCCATTTTCGAGGCACAAGACGGCTTTAATTAACCCGGACAGTCCAGCGGCTGGCTCTGAATGTCCGATGTTGCTTTTTATCTTCATATGGTCAGTAGTTATTTAAGCCTGATTAAGTCACCTTGCAGTGCTGCTTGTATTCTGCAATATCTCTTGTCAATGAAAAAGAGAAACTTACCGAGCCTAGTTGGAGAGGAGCAGAGGCTTGCAGTACATCCTCAAAGGCCAAAGAAAGGCCCTTGAGCTCTGTCGCATCTCCAGCCTTTTGCCCCGGTCAGCAAACATTCATTTCCATCATCGAGATACCCAGGGATCTTACTGGTGTGCCAGTTCCGTGGCATTCAACATAGCTTGTTGCACCGAGGTTCTCAATCCCGGCACACCTGTATGCCGATCTTATGCAGGCCGCTTGTGATTTCGCGTCTGGAGTAGAGATACCCAGGGTATTACCATCACTGTTTGTCGACCAACCGCGGATCACAGCTCGAATAGGATCGCAATCACGCAGGGCATCTCCGAGCCGTTTCAGAATAATACAGTTGACGCCCTCAGCTTTGACATAGCCATCTGCTTTCTCATCGAACGTGTGGCAAAGCCCAGTTGGGGAGTGTATGAAGCCAAGGGATCCCTCTGCCAATACAGAGTATTAGTATTCCCTACGCGTATCACCATTGAAGTCTTTCGTACCGTTCATAAGATGTTCGGGGCTAGTTGAAATGTCAGCAGCGAATTTCACGTGCACCCCTAGTTTTTTGTTTACTCAACATACCTCAAAAATACGTTTGCTGCTGCAACAATAGCCATATTTATGTCTCCGGAACTGATGTAGCGACAAGCAGCATCGACAGCTACCAAGCTCCCAGAGCATCCGGTGTCAATACTCATACTGAAGAAAATCAATTAATATAGTCACATGGACTAAGCACTGTCGGAAGGCTTTTTACCTAGGACCCTTTAAGTTGAAATAGTGGCTGATTCTATTACTTAGGATAGCGCGGCCAATGCCAGTGATCACACTAGGTGGTCGGTGCTCAGGCTCTCGCTTTTGCATATCCTCATAATCTATCCGGCAGATAAGCATTTTAACATGGTTTTAAGATAGGAAAAATTGACCACGAACCCACAGTAAAGGACGCTACAAAGCAACCGGTGCTGGAACCACTGATACCATCAATCGAGATTCCGGCATTTTCGAGGCTTTCATAAACAACCTCGAGTAAGTGTCGCTGTTGAGGGTCCATAGAGATAGCCTCCGCACGAGAGATTCCGAAGAAGCCAGCATCAAAGGCATAAATTTCCTCTGTATCCAGACACATGGCCCCTGGGCTTTTCATTGGCTGTCGGCGCCCAGAACCTTGAAAATGGTTTTCAACATCAAAGCGAGACATTGGGACCTTGTTACTGGCGACTCGATTGTCTTGGAGAAACTTCCATAGGGCCGTCGGTGTGTCGTTTCCACCAGGCAGTCGACATGACATCCCAATAACCGCTAAAGGATCCGACCCTCTCGACGGCTCGATACTGCCCATTGTTTACTGTCAATATTTTAATTAAAATATTGAGGAGGTTCGGGTTATACTGCGTAAGCTCAGGTGAATGACAGTTGAACTGGATGGGATAACCATAGAGCGATACATAGAAACGCCTTTTATGGCCAGACAAAATTGACAGTTCACCGATGTGATGAACGCAAGGTATGGGCCCGATTCCCTCCTTTGAGCCCCCACAAGAAATTCCAGATACGGATATAGTATTCACGTGACTATTCCAGACCTGTCACAATAATTATGAGACGTCTGCAGTCAGCTGTAAGAATTTTCGCCACTGATGGCGGAAAAATTAGGATATCCAAGAAGCTACATATGGCTTCTGTGGATCTATTTCACCGCTCTGGATAGCCCGATCATACTCACGGTTACACAGAGATTTAATACACTAAGCGGACTCCACATTTACCGATACGACTGTCAAGGAGACCTGGCCTGTATCATTGAAGCTACACTTCTACATGGCTGATTACACCATATCCGGGCTCGAAGTTGGTAACATTTGAAAAAGCATAACCCAAATGATTGTACTCAATTGCAATGCCACCCTTATTAACTGTCATGTTTCCAGTTAGATAGAATCATCTCGGCCCATACATCTACATATGGAGGAGTTCTAGTATTTAAATAGTTAATGCATCCTGAGAGACTTTAAAGCTTAGGGGTTGAAATTAGATGGATGCTACAAGGTAACCGCGGCCAGATATGTTGAAAATTCAATGCATGCATGTACGGAATAAAGAGGTAGCAATGTTGCACCGTACACTCATCTTCAAGGAAAACGGCCCAGCTTAACATCGCGAATGAACTGGAACTGACATTCAAGTGAGGGTCGAGACTTATCTCCAACTGCAACATCTTGATGCCCACAGCCTTCAGCATTGAAGATCCTTTTTGGTGCCAGGATAGAGTCGAAAACATCCCGCTGTACTTGTGGTGAACAGACATGGTCTAGCTCGGGTACTATCATGAGGACCGGTGTAGAGACGAGAAACCGAAGCAATGAGTAAGGATTCCATTGTAACATCTTGAAATATGACTGCAAGGTAATCTTCGGCTCGAAGTTTGGCGCAATGGTGTCCTTGTAGCGTGCGACGGATTGATACATTTCCTGACCGAGGCCTGGTCCCCAACCAACCGGGTTTGCCCCGGACGAATCGACGATAGGAATATAGTAAGGAGAGTTCCCTTGCAGCTGAGACTCGCGATCCCGAAGAAACTTCTTCATGGCCTTGTGCGCGGTATCTGGCGACACTACGTCATTGACCCAAGGGCATAGGACAATTGCGCCCCTTATGCGTTCATCAAGTGATGCAGCACCTATACAAATTGAACCGCTGTAGGACCAACCCCAAAAATAAATCTGGGTACTGTCGACGCAAGGTTGCTTCGCCAAAAAAGTGAATGCATCCATGTAGTCCTCGGCGTGCTTTAGTGGGTCAAGCTGATTGACGGGCGAGCCCTGGCTTTCGCCGTAGTTGCGAGGATCGTAAATGAGCGCAGTAATACCATTACGTTGAAATTCTGTGGCGACGTCTGGGAGGCAGATTTCTTTGACCATGTTGAACTTAGAGTAGCGTGAGACCGGAGTCGCCAATTGTTAGGATGCCCTAATACGTACCCCAGGGGTCATTATGACCGCAGGACCTGGCTTACTAGCCTCAAAGAGGAGTCCCCGCAGGGTAATACCGTCGAGCGTTTGAAATTCGATTTTCTGCGAGCTGGACATTCTCACAAAAATATTCCAAGGAAGCTGATATCCCGTTACTCAGAATGCGGTGCTGTCTGGTATTCGCGGTGATCTCGGATGTCGTAGATTATTGTTTGATTCTTTTATATCAAATGAAGGATTCAGAAAGGTTATATTAATATTCCAGATCATGGGAGTAGCATTATAAACCGAACAAGGCATATTGTTTCGGTGGAGGCTGGAACACATGTATAAATCGCTAGTCAAACTCTTGCATGCACACCTTTGGAACCCAAATATCAGCGGTGTAAAATTGCGATGTGCCAAATTGCGACGTGTCTTTTTTGTGTAACATGTAAAAATAGGCATACCCCTCTTCAATCCTGATTCTGTGGACCTCGATGGAGATACAGCTGACCGGTAGTGCCAGTTGGAAACCCTGTGCAACATGAATTTCGTGGTCAATGGGTGAGCAACCGCCTCTCTAGCGTGGCCCTCAACGAAACTATATCTTTGGCAACATGACGAATCTATCAGATCCAGATTGATCGGCAGGAATGAGCCCATCGGCAGAAACTGAGGGAATTTAGCAGTGCTTCACGGAATGGGACAGCTCAGTAGGCTAGCTGTCGCAACAAGAAGTAAACGTATAATGAATATTATAAAGCCAATTAAAATATTTTATAGTTGCTACGATATATGATGTTATAAAAACCGTAACGTTAAGAATACTAAATTATTAGGTAAAATACAGCGGAAAGTGGGCCAGTCAGTAATAGGAGATAAATTACCGCTCCAAATATCGAAACATTATACCATACTAACATTATGCGACGTTGCTTCTTTGGCTCAGAGATGCTCTCAATAGAGATCCCTTAGGTAGTTCTTCCATCAGTTATCTCAATTGGTTCCCTTAGTAGTAGTTCGTACAGATATCCTGCGATCCGACGGATTCTCATGAATACCGCAATAATGCAATACCATACCAAATATCCAGGATCCTAAACTAGCGGTCACACATGAACGATTTTCATGGTGTTTTGGGGCACAACCCACTTCCTCAGCCTGCAAGGCAGACGCCACTATAGCTCTACGGCCTTCCATAAACAGTAATACTACCATTTACAAGTCAAAAACTATTTGCGCGGGAAAGGTGGGTTTGGATAGACTGAAAGCACAATAGATTTTGTTCATTTCTTTTTTTCAAGTGGTCTATATGACCGATTCAGTTCTCCTAGGCGTATTTGTACGATATCCGATAGAAAATCGTAAAGGCAGTTTATTCCGCTCAACTGTCCAATAAAGCCGTTTTTTGTTTGTTTGTTTGTTTCTCGTCGAAAACAAATTGAGCAATATTATGGCTATCGAACTCGCAGAGTATCTTCTTCGGAGGGTCAGGGAATGCGGAGTACGATCCATACATGGTGTGCCAGGTGAGTCCTACGTGGGTTATCTGCCAGTTGATTTATTGTATCTTACATTGACACAGGAGACTTTAACCTTGTGTCGCTCGACCAAGTAGAAAGGTGTGGTCTCCAATGGGTTGGGAATTGCAATGAACTGAACGCCAGTACGGTATATTGCTTTCCATAGTACGAAAAATACCTGACTTAGAAATGCCCCAGGTTTTGCTGCCGATGGCTATGCTCGCGTCAGCGGAATCTCGGCCTTGATGACGGTCATAGGGGTCGGTGAACTACCAGCGCTCAGCGGGATTGCCGGTGCCTATGCCGAACATGTGCCAGTCATTCATATTGTTGGACAGCCTAGTCGCCGTGTTCAAGCAGACCGTCTATGTGTTCACCATACCTTGGGAAATGGAGACTTCTCTGTGTTTGCCAAGATGACGGCAGTGGTTTCAGTGGTGGCTGTAACCTTAGATGATCCACACACCGCTCCTGATCTAATTGACAAAGCCATCCACCAGTGTTGGCTTCAAAGCCGACCGGTGGTGCTATTTCTTCCATCTGATACTGTCCAATCTCCGGTTGACGGCCAGAAGTTGTCCTCTAGGCTTAATTTGTCCTTCCAGAATGACCAAGACGAGGAGACAAGGCTTGTCGACAAGATTCTTCACGATATCCAACACTCGAAGAATCCGGTCTTACTTGTTGGAGGCCATGGAACTCGCCACGATGTTTTTGAGGATGTACTTGAATTAATTCAACTTTTACAATTACCTACATTCATTGCACCTACTGGCCAAGGAATTATCAATGAAGAGACGCCGTTCTACAAAGGACTATATGTTGGAGAATACTCCGCTCCTTGCATATCCCGGATCGTGGAATCGTCGGATCTGATAATTTCAATCGGTCATATTCAATCTGACCTCAGCACGGCAGGATTCAGCGGCAAGATTGAGTCGGAACGAATGATCAGTCTCCAGAGAACAAATACTACTTTACGAGGCAGTCCCTATAATCTCTTTCTCAAGGGCGTGCTACGAAGATTGATTACACAATGGACAGTTTCATCTACGTTTGCACATGTTGATCAGGAATGTTCACTAGAGAAGAGGGACAAAGACACATGTTCTCCAAGGATGCTTTGCTCGCTGCTGAAGATACGTCAGACCTTCCTACAAAAACTCACTAGTCTCCCTATCCTTAGCCTCCGTAAAAGACAAGTGGTTAAACATGCATGGCTATGGCCTACTCTTGGGAGCTGGCTTAGACATGGAGATATCGTTCTAGCAGAGACGGGAACCTCCAGCTTTGGGATCTGGGAGACATCTTTTCCCACGAACGCTATCTTGATCAGTCAGTATTTGTGGGGAAGTATTGGTTACACCGTGGGTGCATGCCAGGGAGCAGCGCAAGCTGCACGAGATTGTTTTGGGAACCAGAAACGAACTATTCTTTTCATCGGAGACGGCAGTCTCCAGTTCGGTTGTCAAGAGCTGAGTACCATTTTGCGGCTGGGACTTACTCCAATAGTGTACGTCAAAATAATTCCTTCCAGTATATTTGAGAATATTGTACACTAATTAGCTGTGGTAGATTTGTGATTTGCAATAACGGCTATACAACTGAGCGGCTTATCCATGGTTGGCAGGAAAAGTACAATGACATTCAAAATTGGCAATATCGACAACTACCGGCTGCTTTCGGTGCGCCAGCGAGAGCATACCGTACATATGTTATCCAGACACAGGCCCAGCTACAAAATCTTCTGTCGAATCGGAAGTTCAACGACTGCTCGGTATTCCAGGTAATTACCCCATTCATACACCCCATGACTCGACGCTGACGCATCATTTAAGTTGGTGGAACTATATATGCCTCAAGAGGATGCTCCTGAGACTATGAAAAAAATAGCTCAGGGCCTGAAGAAACAAAATGTCCGAAGCTAGAAAGCGAAGCCTTGATAGAATGGACCAAAACTTCCAATGTTCATTTCAGTACTTTAGTATTACAACGAACTAACAATATACGATTGATAAATTAGAATCCTCGTCTACCTTTCCATTGTTTTAGTTGAATAACAACACTTAGAACATTTAATCTTGATTATCAAGCACTGATATAGTACTAGCATCGGACAAGCTGATTCCCAATCTCTCGGAGCAAATGCTTCTGATGTTTCCCACTCCCAGTAGTGGGAAAATCCTCGCACACTCCGCCATCACCTACCCAAAATACGTACTGCGGAGTCTTGGATCTGCTCATCACATCATTTACCCAACTTTGCATTTCCTCCGTTGTTGGCCTGTCTACCTGCTGCAAAGCACGCTTCAGAAAACATGCCACAACCTCTCCGTATTTGACATCTCGAACACCAACAACGCTGGCTTCGGAGACCGCTGGATGGGCGATAAGGCGCTCTTCAATTTCAGCGGGAAATATATTCTCTCCACCTAGATTTATTTCAGTCACAGCTAAATGGCCAAGAAAGAAATCTGAGAAGTTGGGATTGCTCGGGGAGAGCAATCACTGAGCACTAGGCTTACCTCTGATAATAATGTCCTTGATTCTCCCAGTAACACGACAGTATCCCTCACTGTCAATCACACATTCATCACCTGTGTGCATCCATAATATCCCATCCTTGTCAAACTTCATGACCTCCGCCGTCTTTGCTTTGTTTTTGAGATAGCCCTTCTGCAACCCATAGCCGCTCACACAGAGTTCACCTCTTACACCGCGAGGCAGAGTCTCGCCTAATTGATTGATAACTTTAGCCTGAGTATGAGGCATCACACGCCCGACAGTCTCATTTCTCTTATTGGGAGCATCATCAGCCGCACTCATGAAAGACACAGGAGCAGTTTCAGTCATGCCATATGCAATCGTCATCTCACTCAGGCCCATAGACTTACTGAGCCGATTCATCAAAGTGTGCGAGATAGTCGACCCGGCGATAAGACCTTTGCGGAGACTAATTATACGGTCATTCCTAGACTGAAGCGCCTCTAGCTCTGCAATAAACATGGTAGGCACGCCCAGGAGAGTTGTACACTGATGACGATATACGGAGTCCAGGACTGCATCGGCATTGAAATAATCGGATGGGAAGACCACAGTCGAGCCATGAATAAGACCCGCTAAAAACCCCATCACAAGACCAAAGCAATGGAATAACGGCGGAGGGCAGCAGATCACATCAGTCGAAGTGATCCCCAGCCTCAGACCAACAAAGCGCGCGTTGTTGAGCATACTCCTTCCTCGATCGTTAATAAGGTGTTTTGCGTAATTAAAGCGTGCTAGACTTACAAATGAGATAACATGGCCACTTTAGGCGCACCAGTTGTTCCTATTGTAAATTGAGATAAGAAGCTGCCGGTGGCTTCGCATGGGATGGGAACTACTCACCGGAGGTAAGTTGAAAACTCAGAGTATTCGATGGCTGAACACTTCGGCGCCAAAATTCCCATTTATCCAATTTGTCAGAATCAACCTTCATGAAAGAGGTAAATTCATCATAGTTTTGGTGTTTCATTGTGACGTTTGTTGGTGAATCTCCGTAAAACACGATCTGGATAAGGCTTGGAAGGGAACCCTGGCTAGATGAACTGCTTAATAAATCGACATGTTCAATAAGGCTGCGTGAGCCGATAGTCGGAGCTAGGAAAAGAATTCGGCACTCTACACAGTCTTAGAGCCATACTAGCAAGCGGCTTATTGTTGGACTCAAGAGGTTGAAGGTCATACCGGTCCTCTCGAGCGCATGCCGAAGCTCCCACGGTCGATAAGTGTTATTAAGGACCAACACTTTACAACCAATGAGTCCTCCCCCAAGAAAAACTTCGAGATACTCGTAGCGGTTGCCGGCAATGATACCCACACAGTCGCCATGTTGTGCACCGGTGCGAAGAAGCGACGCGGCAACGAGTTGACCACGCTGGCGCAACTGGGCAAACGAAAGCTGCTTATTTTGCCATGGAAATATAACTGCAGGCGTGTTGTTGTGCTCTTCTGCTTTTTCGTTGAGGACGCTTTCCAAGCTGACCGACCAGAGGGCAGGCTCTGATTGGCCTTGCACAAGGGAGAGCGGTTCTACACAGATGGTTGGTTTGTCCATTTCGTTATGTCTAAAGAAAGTTGTATCTCTATAGGAGGTCAAGCAGAATGGAAAAATATGTGGACATACTTGTGCGCTTATCTTCTCGCAAGCAAGAATTCCGCATTTGGTAATACTAAGCACCCGTGACGCCTCTTTGGAGTAAGGGGAATGCGCGCTGGATTTTACACAAAGTTACACAAATATTCAGGCTATTGAGAATCTGCATGATCCACACCCACTGGACTCATCTGCATAATATTACAGCGACTGTTGATAGTTTGATACCTTAGCGATTATGTCGTAACATTTATCCACATTCCGGTGGATCCAGGTGGGCTGTTGAACGCAACTAATCTGCCACGTCCAATATCCAGTCCAGGCCATGATTACCTGATTTAGAAATCATTATTTTTAAGATACTGACTATTAATAATCCCGCAAATGTAACGTAATTGAGTACAAACTATTACCCTAGGCTTTCAAAAAAACGACACAGACCGCCCGATTCAAATATCACGCCATAGGCGTACGACCAGCTGATACCAGAGCGAAAGACACAGACTAGCATTTTGTGTTTCCTTCATCCTCCATTTTTATGCTTGCGAATAATCCTTGTGTTGATGCTCAAGTAAAAATATCGACAACATGCAGAACAAGGTCATAGGGCGCAATACACCCGACGAGGAACCCATAAGAGACTCGTTGAGTTCTGAAACTCGAAATCTGCGACCCTGGAAGCCCCAGAAACAACAGTGGCTGATTTTTGGCTGTCTAGCCCTCCTATCTTTTGTTATATCTCTCGACACGACAATCATCACCCCGGCTATACCGGTACGTACGGCGCGGTTGAGTATAGGCACTGCGAAATTAACTTCTGGGCACTGAACCAGGTCCTGGAAACTTCCTTAGGCGGTGACACCGTCCAAGCATTCTGGGCTGGTACCTCATATCTCCTGGCGAGTGCGGTCTGCCAACCTTTCATTGTTGACTTGTCAGACATCTTCGGCCGCAGGTTGATCCTGACCCTAGTAGTGGCGCTATTTACACTCGGAACCATTCTCTGCTCTGTAGCTCACTCCTTTGCCCTTCTCCTCACGGGACGCTCTCTACAAGGAGTCGGAGGTGGGGGTATAATGGCGGGATGTCTTGTCATCACGACCGATATCGTTCCTTTGCGACAGCGGCCCACATACTATGCCATTGTCCAGATGGCCTGGGCCATCGGCACTATCGTTGGACCCTTGATTGGTGGAGTTATTGCGCAGAATATCATATGGCGATGGATTTTCTACATCAATCTTCCATTCTGTGCAATTGGCCTCTTGTTGGTTCCTTTGACAGTGCGGCTCACTGCGGAACGGCCGAGTGTCTTGGAACGCCTGGCTCTGGTTGACTGGATTGGGGGTTTTCTATTTATCTCAAGTCTTTGTGCTTTCTTAGTTGGTATCACCTGGGGAGGGAACCAGTTTCCATGGTCCAGTTGGAGGACTTTTGTCCCAATCATTGTCGGCTTTGTGGGTCTAATCGGCGCAGGTCTTTGGGAAACTTTTGGTGCAAAACGGTCTTTTATACCCATGACTCTATTCGTCAGTATCTCATCAGTCATTGCATATATTTGTGCATGCATCCAAGGAGCATTAGTAAGTGGCTTGCCATTTGTGTTTATTTCATCATCGCTAAAGTCGTCAGATGCTCGGCTGTCTCTATTTCATCCCTCTGTTCATGCAGATAACCAAAGGCATGGATGCGATTCAAAGTGGATTGGCATTGATAATTATTCTGGGCATATTACTGCCAAGCAGTGTCATCTCAGGGTTACTTTTTACTCGATTAGGTTGCTATCGATGGGCAATCTGGTCCGGCTGGGCTCTGGTGGCCTTGGCGATCGGTCTGATGGCGCTGATTGACCAATATATGCCCGCCCGCCACTGGGCATTCATCTTCCTCACTCTGGGCATTGGCAATGGCTTCGTGTTGACATCGTTAAATTTTGCCATCCAGGCCCACACCGCCGATAGCCACGACGGCACAGCCGCAGGAATGTACACATTCTTCCGGTCGCTAGGCATGTGCATTGGAGTGGCAGTAGCCGGCACATTTTTCCAAAATAGGCTGCGGACTCATCTGGTTCAGCGACTTTTGCCTGGAAGTGTGGCAAATTCGGCACCTGAGTTCGCTCTCAGGCTGCGGCAATCGGGCTGGGACCCTACTGAGAAGGAGAGCTATATTATCGCATTTACACATGCATTCAAGAATCTGTGGTTGTTCTTTATGGCCATGGCTATTCTTGCGCTTGTTCTATCGCTGCTTATTCAACATGCCACGCTTGACCGAGAGCTACACTCTGACCATACCCTGGTTGACCGTCCTTCTGAAGCGGACATTGTGAAGGAAGCGCCTTAGAATAGAACTATATCGTTAATGGCAGGTTAAATGCTCAAATATAGTCATTTATAGAGGCTAAAATTAAATGTATGTATATAAAACAATAAGTAAAATAAAGAAGTCGAAGAAAAAAGGTTAAAAATATGAAGTTATTGATATTGACATGTCAGAAGAACGTGACCACCTCAATTGATCAATTTTATTCAAATGAGGCGCTAAATATGTCAACTAGTACATGTATGCCAATAATAGTATCATCTGAAAACTGTCCAGATCTACATCAATTAGTCATTGTCAGGTGCCAATCTTCCCCCGAAAAAACTAAACATCATTATATATATCCCTTACTTACACTATCAACCAGATATGGTTGAGCTGAAGAAGCCTTAAGTAACTCCAATGTCATTAGAACAAGCTACAAGCTTAACAATAACAATAATCACCAATTTAATCTATCTAATAACAAGACCAGCCAAGACTATAAAGACAATAACCGCATACTCTATTTTATAGATTATAGTAGCCATTAAAGTATCAAAAATAGCAGTTACCATGCTTACAATAATAAATTATTATTTAAGATATCTAATAACTCTAAAAAGGACTAAAAATAAGCTTTTTATAACTAGAGCCACACCTATAGTGCTAAATAATAATCTAATAGTATGTCGGACTTTTTACGCGTTAGAACAAATTGAGTTTAGTGCCAAAATTCGATTGGATTAAGATACAAGCCTGAGTTGCAAAGAACTCATCTATCTAGACGTATTTATATGCGAATTTATACTAATATTTATTATTAAAAATAAGATATTAAAAATTGAATAAAATCACTTTTTAATATAACATTTTAATACTATTAATTATAATTTTAGATATTTCTAATTCTTTTTTAATATGCTTAGTATTAAATATTCTAATATATTCTTCTAGAAATAATTTATTTTTTAAAGCTATTATTTCTATAGTAAATACTCTACTTTAATTAATCTAAGATATTTTATAAAGGCTTTATATTATAAATATATTAAAATTTTTATAAATCTATCTACTAATATATTTTTAATATTTATCTAGACAATATCAATTTAATATACTTATATCTCTTATCTTAACTAATAATTATAAATATTAATATAGCGTAGCTTTATTATAAATTAAAATTCCTTATTGTTAACTAATCTTATTATTTAAAAATTATCACATTTTATAATAAATAAGTATTTAGAATTATAATTAATTAATTTAAAAAATAATTTCTATACTATAAATTATTTTCTAGCTTTAAATAAAGCTAATAATTTTATTTTAATTATTAAGGTTATAACTGTTTTCTATTTATTAATCTTTTAATCGATTAAATTATTATACAATTTATAAAGATAGCTTTCAGAGCTTTTCTAATTAAGAGTATTAATAAATATTATATTAAATATATATATAAAAATCTTAATATCTCTAAATATTAATATAAAATATTTAATTATATAATCTTTTATTATATATAAATAATTAATAATTTAATAAATCTTATCTAAATAATCTAAAGTAAGATTTTAAAGAAATTTAATAAATTTATTTACTATCTTTATAATGTCTAATTTTATTATAACTAAGATATAAAGAATTAATTCAATATATCATTAATATATATATATTTACTAAGCTGATAATTTTTTAGTATATTTAATTAATTTTTTTAATAAAGATATAAATATTCATTTCTTTAGATTAATTAAATATTAACTAGTAATCTTATTAATATAAAAACTTTATATAAACTAGATTTTCTAAAGCTTTTTATCTCAAATAATTCTAATATCTAAAAACCATTCAAATTTAGACATTTTATATACATTATAAATATATATAAATAAATCATAAAATCATTAAAATTTATCCTAATTACTGTTTAGATATAAAGCAATAATATCATCAATAAAAAATATTAAAATTATATTTTATTAGATAAATAAACATTTATCTTTATTCACTTATATAAATCTATATTTAATAAATATATTTATAAACTCTTTCTATTATAATCTAGATATTTTTTTTAAACTATAAAATATATATTTTAATAAAAATATTTTCTTTTAAATATATAGCCTTTAAAGCATTTTAAATAAACTATTTTATTAAGTAAACTATTTATAAAGATATTAACTATATTATATTACTATATTTTTAAATTAAATACTATAACAAATACTATTATAGTTCTAAAACTATGTATTATAAATATTGCTATTCTTATATCTGCTATTATTAAGTATTATAAATTTTTTTTAATATATAATTATATTTTGAATTTATTAAAATAACTATATTAAATAAGTTTATATTTGAATACTTATTTTATTAATAATTATTGAATTTTAAGATTAATAAAGATATTAATAATTTCTTAAATACTTATTTTTTTTAATTCTTAATATTTAATATTTATAACCTTTTAGAATCTATCTTTCATAAAATATTAAAGTATTTCCTTCTATATTTATAGCTTTGAAAGCAATTTATTAATATAAAGCTTATTCTTTTAGAATATAAAGATTAAGAATAAAACTATTATAATTATTTTATATTAAAATTTTAAATTGATAAAATTTAAATAATTTTTATATTTTTAATTGATTAGCTGATTTATTTTCTTAATATAGTATAACTTCCTTCTATTATATAGTTCTTTAATAATATTATTTTAAGATAGCTATAGATTAATATTTTATAGAGTAATTTATCTTACTTTTATTAAAGCTTATATATAGATTATAATAATTCTTATAATAGTATTTATAAATTATTTAAAATATTTATTATTAAATTATTTTAATTCTTATTAATAATATCAAAATTAATTAAAATTATTAAAAGTGGTATTCCTAGTAATATTTTATATATAGCCAATATTTCACTAATTTAATTAGATAACAGTAAGTGAATCTTAATTTAAAGTTAATTATCTATCTTATTAATATCACTTTCTAAATATTTTACTATTTTATTAACTTTGCAATTAATATTCAAATTATTATTATTTTTAACTATTTAAAATGCTTTAATATTAATTTTTAAAGATAGAAGAGTAAAAGCTTAATTAATTATTTTAAATTATAAATTATTCAACTTCTAAATATTAAAATTCAAATCTTTTTAATTGTTATCTTTATTATTAATTTAGCTATTTTAAATATTATTTTTAATATCAATTAAATTGAATACTTTTTGTTTAATATCTATAAATTCAAGATTCTTAATATCAATAATAATATATATTATAGGAATTCCTTCTCTAATAATTTTACTAATAAATAGTTTTTAAGATTATATCTTCTAGTCTTATTAAATTGATAGTCTTTTATCCTAATAATCTTCTTATTAATTAGAATCTAAATATACTAAATATTATAAGATTAATATCTAATTAGATAATTAATTTATATATATAATATTATTTTATATATTTTTAAAATATTATTAATTTTGATATATATTTTTGCACTAAATTTGAACAGATTGCTAATATATGGTTTCTAAGGCTTTTCCTATTCAGATTTTATATAGACAATTTTATATAATATTTTCTAATTTAATCACTTTATTAATATTCAATTCATTATAAAAACCATTACTTTTATAGCTTTTAATCATAAATTAAGCAGTAATTTACTCTTAATAAGTAGAGATTTTATATATATTATTATTACTCTCTTAAAGTATTCTAAAATACTATTTTATTTAGATATATAAGGAATAGTCTATATATACTTAATAAATATATTTTTATAGAAATTTTTAAAATCATTATTAATTACATACTTTTCATCTAGGCTGTCATTTGGTTCGGTTCGGACCGAACCAAAATCGATCTGAAACCCGAATGGTCCGGTTCTGATTCTATATACAGTGAACTGATATAGTTCAATTCACTAAGTCTAGGACCATATAATTTTTTAAAGTTTATTTAGATCTAATTCAGTTTAGATTTTTAGTTTAATTTTATCTGAATATCTGAATATTAATAGATTTTTATTAATAATATTAATATATTTAAGATTAACTCTAATCCTTTATAATTATTATTAATTATATAATCATTTCTAAAACAGTTTTTTATAAATTAAATTCTTATTTTTTGAATTAAAACTTTATTTTAGATATTTTTATAAATATTATAATGAATTTTTAATATTTAAATTATAATCTAAGAATTATCTAGATAGTAATAATACTTTTTTTATATATATTTTTTTAAATTATGTTATATAGCGTATTTAATAAAAAAAATATATATATATTTTTATATCTATTTTATAATATTCATTATTATCTATTTATTTTTTAATATATGTTAATAATTAGATAGAAAATTATAATTTAAATAATTAATTATAATTTTTATATTATTTATCTATCTAATTCATTAATATTTAGAGAGATTTTAATATATTTTTAAGAATAAAAGCTAACTATAGTTAAAAATTCTTTAATATAGTTTAATTATCTGAATAAAAATCGGATTAGATTTGAATCAATCTAATTATAATTAGTAATTTTTTTTAATATGATTTGATTTCAATTCGAAAAGTTAGAATTATTCAGTTTTTAATTCTGGTTCCAATATTAAAGACCAAACTGAACTGACCCACTTTTGGGTTTGGTTCAGAAACTCAGGACCAGAACCGAACCAAATGACAGCCTATTTTCAGCTATTATATCTTTAATTTTAATAATTCTAAGAGTTTTTTAAAGCTTAATAAATTTAGAAATATTATTATAAATATAACTATCAGTTTTAATATTATATATAAAGCTTTTCTTTATATCAGTATCTATTATGATATTTATTAAGATATTATATAATATTACTATATAAATAAATTAATTATTAGTATAATTCAAAGTAATTATTTTATTCATTAATTTATTATTACTATTTAAATTACTATTTAAATTATTATTATCTTATCTTAACTTCTTTTTAATCTTAATTTTTTAATAAAACTTCTTAAGTTTTAAAAATTTATTAAAAAATATTTTTATATATTTTTTTATTTTTAGATTTTCTTTTTAATTCTTCTTTCTCACTTAAAGATTCAGATATAAATAATATTAAAATTTAAATTTATAATTCTTTCTATAAATATATTTTTTATTATTAGATTTTAATTTATTTTTATAATTATAGTTCTAATCTGATAAATTTTAAATATTTAGAATATTATTATCATTTTAATCTTATAATATCTTATATAATATTAATACTCTAGATATTTAAAGTTTGATTTATTAAGTATATATTTTAAAGATTAATATTAAATACTTCAAATTTAGTAATTTATATCTATTATCTTTAATAATATACTATATATATTTATTATTCTAAATAAAATAGAATTTTAATATTAGATTCTTTATTGATTATATAAAGTTAATCTTATAATATTTATTCTAAATATTCAATATCTTTATCTTTATATACTTATTATATATTAATTCTTATTTTTTAATCTATTCTTTAGCATTACTATTATTTCTTAAAGATTTATAAATTCAATAATATCTTTCTATTAATATAATATTATTTTACTGACTTATTATAGTAAAGTTTTCTTTTAATATTTTTAATTAATCTTTAATTTTAATAATATTTTAAATATAGATATAATTCTTTTAATTAATATTTTATATTAAAGTCTTTTAAATAATATATATTTCTATATCTTATTTATAATATTTTTATTTAATCTCTTTATTTATATCTTTTTTAGTTAATGTAAAGTCTAAAATATTTAAAAATATTAGTATAATAGATAATAGTTTATTAATATTTAAATATTAATTATTTAATTATTCTAATTAGCTTATTTACTTAAAATGATAAAAGCTTTAGAAATATTATTAAATACTATTTTAAATAGCTTTAATTTGTTTAGATTCAGTAGAAATTAATAAATTATATTTAAAGTTATTTAATAAAGGTAGTAAAAGTAATATAATTTAAAAAATAGTTTTAATAATCAATATTTATATTAATCTAGATTTATAACTATTAGACTTTTTATATATTAAAATAAATTAAGATATAAATCTAAATTATAAAGAATTTATCTATCTAAATATATTTATATGCGAATTTATACTAATATTTGTCATCAGGGGTAAGGTATTGAAAATTGAGTAATATCACTTTTTGGCATGGCGTTTTGGCACTACTGATCGTAATTTTGGGTGTTTCTAATCCTTTCCCAATGTGCTTAGCGCCAAATATTCCGACATAGTAATATTATTTATTATAAAAAGAGTATTAATCTATATTAGCTATAATATATTAAAAACTAAATAGACCATCTAACTAATAGATTTAATAATGATATAAGCTTAGAGATTTCAGATTTTAAAAAGTTTAATAGATAATAAAAACTATTTAAATAATATATAGATTTTATATAAAGTAAATTCAATTAAGATAAATATACCTAGAATTAAGAATATATTTATTTATTTAAGTTTTATAGCCTTACCCAGCTAAAAGCTATAAAGATTACATATCTGTAACAGGGATAGACCCAGGGAGTATGTTCAAGCCTAATCCGGCAGGAACGAGAGGCTCAGGGATACCCCAAGATCAATTATGATATATCACAATTGATATTATAAGACCTTAAGCATAATATCAGTATCCTTTATCTCACTATATATACCTTTATTTAGTTAGATTAAATATCAATAATCTAAGATAAAAACTCAGACATATAGACTTAATTTCTTATTTTAAAAAAAAAACTAAATAATATCTTTTATATAATTTTTAATATAACTTTTAATATAAATCTACTCAGCTTAAATTAGTCTTCAGCTCAAAGTCTTTCTTAATTATATAATCTAAACCAATAACTTTCTCTCTAATAGCTAGGGTGGCCGTGGGACGGGAATGTGGGATCTCGGGGCCTGAAAAAATATCTATATAGAAAACTGAAAAGGAAAAATATTTCTCACTAAGCAATGAGAAGAGTAAAAAAAATAGAAAATTTTAAATAAAAAAATTTAAAAAAGTAAAAAATTTTAAAATAAAAAATAAATTAAATAAATTTTTTTATTATATTTTAGAAATATAATCTTAAATATTATATATTAGAAATATAATCTTAAATATTATATATATAATTAATTTATTTTTTATATAATAATATATTTTATAACTAATACTAAATATTTATTTAATAAAAATACTAGTTAATTCTATAATAAAAAAATTTTTAATTATTTAAACTACTATAAGATATTTATATTCAATTTATTTTTATTAAATTAAAAAATTCATTATTAATTTATATAGAATATAATAGATTAAATTATTTAGATAGATCTTAAACTTACTAATAGAATTATTAGACTGTCATTTGGTTCAGTTCTGGTCCTGAGTTTCTGAACCAAACCTAAAAATAGATTGATTTGATTTAATCTTTAATATTAAAACTAAAATCAAAAATTAAATAGTTTTAACTCTTTAAATTAAAACTAAACTATACTAGAAAAGAATTACTAATTATAGTTAAATTAATCTAAGTTTAATCTAATTTTTATTTAGATAATTGAACTATATTAAAGAATTTTTAATTATAATTAAATTTTATTTTTAAAAATATATTAAAATCTCTCTAAATTTTAATGAATTTAATAGATAAATAATATAAAAATTAGAATTAATTATTTGATCATAATTTTCTATTTAATTATTAAAATATATTTAAAAAATAAATAAATAATAATGAATATTATAAAATCAGTATAGAAATATATATATATTTTCTCTAATAAATAGATTAACTATATAATATAATCTAAAAAATATAAATAAAAAATAGAAAAGATATTATTATTATTTAAATAATTCTTAAATTATAATTTAAATATTAAGAATTTATTATAATATTTATAAAAATATTTAAAATAAAGTCCTAATTCAAAAAATAAAAATTTAATTTATAAAAAGTTATTTTAGAAATAATTATATAATTAATAATAATTATAAAAAATTTAGAATTAATCTTAAATATATTAGTATTATTAATAGAAATCTATTAATATTTAGATATTTAGATAAAATTAAACTAAAAATCTAAATTAAATTAGATCTAAATAGATTTTTAAAAACTATATGATTCTAGATTTATTAAATTAAATCATATCAATTCACTGTATATAGGACCAGAACTGGACCATTCGGATTTCAGATCGGTTTTGGTTCGGTCCGAACCGAACCAAATGACAGCCTACTCCCTCTATAATTTGTTAGTAAAAATGGATTGACGTCAAGCCCTTGAAAATTTTGTCAAGCCTGACAAAAATTTGTGTCATGTCAGAGACCCACCCTGACATGACCATTCCCTAGCTTGAGGCAACCAAGGTGCCAATCCGGCCGTTACACCTATTAGGCTTGCCTAATAGCCTTATTGTATACGGAGTTACAGCTTGCTTTAAGTACCATCAAGTATGTTAAGGGTTTGGTAGAATTTTGAAATTAAACTCTCGCGCAAGGATTAGATGGCGCGATACGCTGATGGCTAACCCTGACCTTACGCCCTTGCAGGTGCCGCATTACAATGAGGAGCCACGAAATGCTTCGCGTTGACTAGAACATCGCCATCCAACCCACGGGATGTTCTTAAGGGACCGACTACGCAAGGGAGTTATTAATTCTTTTACTGTGCATCAGAACGCACAGACTCGTCATTTAGGGTTACGGATAGGTTTCCTTCACCAGTCAAGAGAGTGAAACAGATAGAAACAAATACCATTTGAATATCCTAAGTTCCCACGAAGACCTCCCGCCTTCCCCAAATCCCCCAAAACACCGGAAAACGAGAGATTTCAATATAGCTCTTCAAAGTCACCTACACAATGACAATCGATTCATCACCTCCCAGCCTTGCCCCCTACGAAGTCCTCAGCCAGGCCTTCCACTTTACAACCGAAGACCAAGAATTATGGTGGCACTACACCGCACCGGTATTCGTCAAAAGCATGAACGACGCAAACTATACCCTCCATGCGCAATACAAACAGCTGGCGTTTTTCTACCGGTGCGTCCTACCCTACCTGGGTGTATTCCCGGGCGGCAGAAGCAAAACCGGAAAGCAGCCCTACAAGAGTGGGCTTAGTCCCTACGGTTTCCCCTTTGAGTTCAGCCTGAACCTGCCAGAGTTGACGGTTCGATACTCATATGAGCCGATTGGGCCTCGTGCGGGTACAGTGGATGACCCTTTTAATGTCGAGAAAATGTGGGACGTTGTTGGAGATCTTGTCAGCTTTGACGAGAGGATTGACACAACGTGGCTCCGCGAGCTGGCTGATTTGCTGCTTCTGTCGAAAGACGAGGCGAACGCTCTCACGTCGCGCCCGGACTTTACCCCCGGTGGACCGGCCCGTGGACAGTATCAGTTTGCGGTTGATATGAAGGGCGACCGACCCATGTTAAAGGGGTATATCTTCACCGCGATGAAGTCACTTGCGACTGGTATTTCCGCTGACAAGCTCATCTGCAATGCCATCCGCACTGTGGATCGGAGGGGCCAGATCGCTACTCCACTGGCCGAGATGGAGAGATACATCGCAGTCCGCGCAGCGGAACCGCAATCAACCTTTATCACCGCATACCTAGGCTGTGATATGCTCGACCCGGCACAGGCCAGACTCAAAGTCTACGGACTGGATAGTAAAGTGACATTCGAGCGACTCGTCGATCTGTGGACGCTGGGAGGACGTATCCCCAACGACGCCATGACCCAGACCGGACTCCAGGCGCTGCGAGAGCTCTGGGACCTCCTGCAAATTCCGCCCGGCATTCGCGATATGAAGATCGACCACCTGAAGCTCGGGGAGCCGCCCAAGGTTCTACTGCCCTTTATTGTCAACTATACCCTTTTGCAGAGCTCTCCACAGCCAGAACCACAGGTTTATCTTGTGCCATTTGGTATGCCGGATGCACATATTGCTGATGCGCTTACGAGGTTTTTCGAGAAAATGGGGTGGGATCAGGTTGCAGAGACTTATAAGGAGAATCTTTTTGGGTATTAGTGAGTACTTTTCCTGATAGGGGGCATGGATGGCTAGTCTAAGCTAATGTGGTATATAGCCCGAACCAGGATTTCAGTAAGACGACGCATGTCCAAGAAGCTGTTTCGTTCTCGTATAAGAAGGGGAAGCCATATCTTAGCGTGTATATTTCTCATTTCTAAGAGAAGAGTTTTTTGACTTGCCGTAGATTTCGAAGGCGAGATAAGTCAATGAACTAGTTTATGACAGTCTTCCTATCAGCTTGAATGACGATACATTAAATTATTTTTTTACCTGCCCAACACATTCCATCCTCATCCCAATCTTCACTCCCCACCCCGAGTGGCACAATAAACAACCCCTTTGGGTCCCACCTCCGCTTAATCTCCCTCAGACGTTCGTACTTCCCCCCCCAAAACCACTCCTGCGAGTCCTCCAGATGAGGATCCGCTTCATTCAAGTACACTGCGACTGGCATCGGTTCAAACGACTGCAGAATAGGCGCCTCCACTCTTGTAAGGCGGTCTTGAACCTGTTTCTGTTCGTGCAATGATGGGCCGAAGAGACGATTACCCACGAGTAGTAACGCAGCATCTCGCCAGCCATAGTGAAGCGCGCTGTCCACGTGCTTGTTCCGATTTACCTGCCCGCCCAGGGTGTTCACCACCCAGACGTCACTCGGGTTTAGTTCGATGGCGGCCAGTCGCTCGATTATCTGCACCGGACCTTCTGGCTTGTGATACAGCTCGTTGGGGATGAGGACGTTCTCTTGATGATATCCCATTCCGCCAAAGTACAGTCCCTGCGGGATGGCCAGGTACGAGGTCAGTTTCCCGTACGCCGTCGCGTTGAATTCAGCCTCGATACCACGCAGCTCCAGCGAAGTAAGCAGCGGCGCGAAGGCCTTCTCAATGACTCTCACATCCTCAACAAAATGGGAGAACATGCTGAGCTTCACGTACGGCTCCCCTGTCGGCGTGCGGCCAAAGTAGTACTGTGCGGAACTCCCGCAGACGGCCAGCTCTCGGGCTTTTTCGATGACTTCCTGGCCGGCGGCCCAGTAGTCTTCGTCGCGGGTGGTTGTTAAGAAGGTTAGGGAAGAGACTACGGACGGGTGGTCTTCGAACACGCGCATTGTGACGCTCACGACTACGCCGAATGTACCGCCACCACCGCCGCGAAGGGCCCAGAAGAGGTCGGGGTTTTGGTGATTGTTGGCAGTTACTAGAGTGCCCTATTATTCTCAGGTTAGTAGTGGTACATCAGGGCAATCTGAATAGATTATTTAGCGAGCATACGTCCGCTGTGACAACCTTGAACTGCAGGACCAGGTCAGCCGAGAGACCCCTCAGTGGCGCCAAAACGGTCGACACACCCCCTCCCTGAATAAATCCACCGGCAATACCAACAGTCCCGCACTCACCACCGACAACGGTATACCCATGCTCCGCGGCAGCCGCGTACAAATCCTTGCCCAGTACGCCAGCAGCAAAGGTAACAGCCGGACCCTCCGCTCCCACACTCTCCCCACCCTCCACAGTTGACGGCACAAAGTCATCGCTAAACTGAATATCCTTTAACCCCTGCGTGAGAATCTGGAACGAATCGACAGCACTTGAGCGCCCGATGGCATCATGCCCCGTGTTCTTGATAACAAGACGCAGATTTTTCGCGGATGCGAAGCGGACGGCTTCCTGGATGTCGTGGGCTGACTGTGCGACTAGAGAGTATAGTGGCATCCGGCCCTGGTGACATGATTGTGTGCGATCGCTGCCTGGTCCGATGTAGCACGTTTCATTGCGGGCGAGGGAGGCTTCCCACCCGTAGTCTTGGAGGGCACCTTGTCATCCGATTCGCCTCAGTATGATGGATCAATGGATCAAGTATCGGTGACATGGTAATGGGTAGGGTAGAGGGGAAGGGAAGGCCGGGCGTACCTGGTTGTGCTGCTCTCCATTCACCACTCGGCGACATGGCTTCTACATGCTCGCACGCGGCTTTATCGTATGCGGGCTCGTGGCACACGTATCCGATCGGACGGACGCTGACGAGTCGGCCGTTAACCGAGCTGTTTAGGGCGTGCCACTCCTCCGGGAACGGCCAGCAGGGGTCGATTGGGCGACATCGGCAGTGGACGCCAGCGAACGGTTTGGTGGAGTCTTGGGGCTGGCCGAGCGTGTGGCCGAATAAGACCGCCGATAATACACCTATGAACCGCATTTTGAGTGGTGTATATCGGGTAATGGTTACCGCTGCGACGCGGAGGATGTAGTATTATAACCCTATCACATGGGAAAGGGCATCTAAGAACTAGGCAATCAGAGGCAATCCCGTTTCTCCTGTCCCATGCGTAAGAGATTCATTACCATTGATTCGGATAGCATCGTATCCTCTCGCACACCTAGACCGCCTGTTCCTCTCACCCTCGCAAGGATTGTGTGGGCACTGAGAAAATGTGGATAGCCATTCCCAAGGGCAATTTCATGCATCACGGAAATTCCGGCAGCAGAGATACTCTAACCCCTACCGTTCATCATCCTAAGTAGTAAAGACGAGGTCATAATTCGTTTGCATAATGTTGCAGTTCCTGTCATCTCCCTTGATTTCCAGCACAACATCCAGCTTTCAAGCATTTCCTTGCATAGGGCTTGATACCTTTTCTTCACATGTGACCCAGCAACGCCGCTCAGAGGCTAGCTCACGTCCACGTCGTACGAGGCGCATATATCAATAATGAGTTTTGGAATTGTATTCCCGGTGTAGAATGGCACGGGAGAGTTTTGTGGCCTCGCATAGCATTCCAACTCTCCATATTCTTTCTTCACCGAGGTAGGTATTAGACTCGCACCTGCATGGAGCCCTTGCGTCACTGCAAGATACAATCATTCTGGACCCCTTGCGTCACTGCAAGATGCTATCATTTTCCTTGCCTGATATGACGCTAATATTCCAGATTATTAGCGGTCACTACGAAGTCGGTTTCACCGAGTAATTTCAACTACTTCTAGACCATTGTTAAGTTTGGGCGATCCTAAAAGGGTACTTACCGATTTGATTGGTTCGACGGGTAGGTAGTTGGGGAGGCGGTTCAGACCTCCTGCGTCGAAATTCTGGCCTCCGGGAATTCATGTCTATTTCAGCCGCAGGATCACCTAGCAAGGCTTTCGCAGGAGACCCGCTGTGTCGGGTCCACAAGGGTAGGCCCGAGGAGCCCCGCAAAAGGCCCACTCAGATTTATTCTTGTGTTGGATATGCCTATCATTACTGGGCATGACATATGCCCATTTGCATTTTTTCCTTGGTCTGGAAGTAGCATGATGCTGATAGCCCTTCATCAGATACTACTCTATGGTATCACCATGGTGCCAAAGGAATCCAAGGATGTCAACACGTCACACGGTACGTGCTTGAAGAGCACCCGCGGATGCGACAGCTGAAATTGTAAACAGGTTGAGCGCGGGAATCATTCCATTCGGTAGGTGACGCGTAAGGGCGATACGATACCAGAATCGTTAAACTGCTGAGCAGGAATTATCAAGCTAGAGTATAAATTGCTTGTTCATGATGTTGCGTTCGAGAACAATAGTACCCCTCCCGGTCTTGGTATCAGCAAACCAGCCGTCCGCAATGGATTTGGAAGGAATTACCGAATGGCCTCAGCACACAGCAGGCACCTTCGAGATCAAGCTTCCTGCACGGATACATATAACAGAAGAATCGGTTCCTTCCTCCGTCGCGTCGCTAGCTTTTACTCCGTCACCCGACAACTCACCCATCTACACACCGCCCAATCCCGACAGTCACGATCCTTCCTTGGAAGCCGCGCAAGATCACAATCACCCCTTAAAAGCCAGCACCAAAATTCCGGAGTTCTGGAACGTATGCGTCCACGATGTCATTTAGCGGAGATGCCAGGAAGCTCCCGACGCCCCGGCTGTAGTTGCCTGGGACGGATCTTTCACCTATGGGGAGCTCGATAAGCTATCTACTCGACTATCGTTTCTCCTAATCCTACTCAGTGTGAAACCCGAATCATTTGTCCCAATTTCCATGGACAAGTCACAGTGGACGACAGTTGCCATCCTTGGTGTCCTTAAGGCCGGAGCGGCTTTTACTCTGCTGGACCTGTCACACCCGCTCCCCAGGTTGCGAGCGTCCTGCGAAGACCTGGAGGCCACCATCATTCTCACGTGCGCTGCTCAAGTTTAGCGCTGCAGCCAAATAGCGAACGCGGTCGTCGTCGAACGTCTTTGTGAAGCGTGGTACCCCAGTCCTCTGACGGCTCAGCCGCTAACGACATCTGTCTCCCCGGCTAACGCCTTATTATGCGTCCTTCACCTCGGGTTCAACAGGAAAGCCCAAGGGGGTGGTGATTGAACACCGGGCCTACGCTTCCGGAGCCAGAGAACACTTGAAAGTATTCCAGATTGATCACACATCTCGAGTCTTGCAATTTTCTTCCTACGCGTTTGATGTCAGCATTATGGAGACACTGAGCACACTGATGGCGGGCGGCTGCCTGTGCGTGCTGAAAGAGACCGAACGGACAGATCCCGCATTGTTCATCGAGGCTTTGAATAAGTTCAACGTCAGCCACGCCATGTCGACCCCCTCCTTCTCGAGGACCATGCCGTGGCGCGAGGCAAGATACATCCGCACCTTGATCCTCGGCGGAGAAGCAATGCATCCTACGGAAGCGGCATTCTACGCTGAATGCGGGATTAGACTTGTAAATGCATACGGCACTGCAGAGTGCTCGGTGAACGCCACGACGGAACCCGAGGTCAAGCCTGGAGCGAATGCCAACTGTTTCAGTCAGCATACAGGCGCCGTGGTCTGGTTGGTCAACCCAGATGATGCAGAGCGCCTAGTAGCCCCTGGGACGGAGGGGGAGCTGTTATTAGAAGGACCCATTGTTGGGCGGGGATACTTGAATAATAAGAAAGCCACCGCGACGGCGTTTATAGACCCGCCGACATGGTTGCAGAGGCTTCGTGTTGGGCAGTATCAACATCGACTGTACCGGACAGGAGACCTAGCAGTCCAAGACAGCGTCACTGGATCTCTAGCCCTCCTCGGCCGCAAAGAGGGGCAGGTGAAAATCCGAGGACAGCGGGTGGAGCTGGCTGGCATTGAACAGCACATTCGAGAGACCCTGCCCACGGCCGCGGAAGTGATTGTCGGAGAAGGTGACCACCGAATGCGACAATCGTGACAGGCTAGTGGCATTTATTCAACTTGACATGATGAAGACAGGTCCAGCTAGTGATTCCCCCTCCTTATTCCCGCCCCCTGACTCTGCCTCAATCCAGAGGTTTGCCGCGGTCCAGACCCGGCTTCAAGAACAACTCCCAACCTACATGATCCCTAGTATATTCATCCGCGTCGCTTGTATCCCCAGGACTACTTCTGGCAAGGTAAACCACTCCATTCTGCGGTCGACCGCCGCTAGTCTTTCAAGAACCGACCTACAAGCATTCGCAAGCTCACCCACACACAGTCGGCAACCCGCCACGCCAATTGGACTCAAGCTATAGAAGCTGTATGTAGACACGCTCGGGCTTCCATTGACGGGGATTGGAATGAATGACACTTTTGTGCAACTAGGTGGAGACTCTATTCTGGCGGTACGCCTTGTAGGAGCCGCGCGGCAGGCTGGTCTTATCCTTGATATTCGCGACGTGCTGGGGACGAAACGGTTAGAGCAGCAAGCGCAGGACGCAACAACCAAAGCATCCAGTGTCTGTCTCAGCCGATCCCCTGTCTATGCACCTTTCACACTGTTAGGTACCAGAAACAGCAACGAGGTGTTGCGTCTCGCCCAGGAGTAGTGCGGTGCTTCTTCTGCGGATATTGAAGACGTCTACCCGTGTACGCCGTTGCAGGAAGGAATGTTTGCTATATCAATGACGCATCCCGGAATGTACAGGCACCAGATTGTGTTCCAAGTTCCAGCATCTACTAGCATAATCCGATTCAGGTCAGCGTGGGAAGCCACGGTGCAAACCTGCCCTATCCTCCGCACGCGCATTATCCAGACCCCGCAGGGCCTTTTGCAGGTGGTGATTAGAGAGAATTTGACGTGGCAAGAAGAAACTTCTGAATTACCAATTCTCCCAGGCTCACCTTTAATGCGCTGTTCCTTCGTTGATGGCAAACTGACGCTGACAATCCATCACGCGATCTGGGACGCTTGGACAATGGAGCTGATCCACAACCACCTGGAGCTCGCCTTTCAGGGTCGGTCGGTGAGAACGTGTCAGCCCTTTCACTCCTTCATAGGGTATTTGCAGGAAACCGACGACAATGCTCTAGATACCTTCTGGCGCGACGAGCTGGCTGGCCTTGAAGCTGCTGTCTTCCCAAGCCTGCCGTCAGTTCAGTATCGACCTTCACCTACGGCGACGCTCCGGCACATCGTGAAGGACATGAAAATGACGGCTCGCCGCCATACGACCGCAACATATATCCACCTGGCCTGGTCAATGTTGGTAGCACAGTACACGGACTCGGTCGAAGCTGCCTACGGTCTCACCGTCAATTGCCGGAGTGCTCCCCTGGACACCATCGCGGAGGTGGCCGGACCAACCATTGCTACAGTGCCCATGATAGTAGCGGTTAGCTCGGATGATACTGTCACAGAATTGCTAGAGCAGATCCATTCACGCACGATTAGAATGATCCCGCATGTACAGACTGGCCTGCAGCGAATCGCCAAAGCTAGCGCCGACGCCGCGAGGGCCTGCCGCTTCCAGAGCCACCTCAACATTCAAGCTGCGACACCCGACCGGGCCCAACGGTTGTTCCCCGTCACCTTCGGGACCCCGGGTAGAGGAATGGATCTGACACGATTCGCGAACTACGCGCTCAACCTTCTTCTGCAGTTGGCCAAGGATGGCAGCACGGTCTCTGTTGACGTGGCGTATGACCCGCAGATCCTCAGCGCCGGGCAGGTTGAGAGGATGATGCAACAGTGGGAGCACATTCTACATAAAATCACCCGTCAACCCACGGCAAAGGTTGGGGAGATTGATCTGCTAAGTCCACGAGACAGGGAGGACCTACAGGGTTGGAACACCATCATGCCACCAGCAGACCGTCGGTGCCTCCCGGACCTCTTACTGGCTCAGGGAGCGAGTCAACCACATCAACTGGCGGTCTCTGCCTGGGACGGTGATTTTACGTACAGGCAGCTGGTGGTCTTAACATCCGCTCTGGCACGGCGGCTCAAGGCCTCGTTCGCCGTCGGACCCGGATTGTTTGTGTCCATTTGCATGGAGAAGAGCCGGTGGACAATAGTTGCCATTATTGCTGTCCTCCGTACTGGGGCAACCTGCGTGATGCTGGATTCCAAAGTCCCGAGGCAACGTATGCAGGAAATAATCTCAAGTGTATCCACGCGCATCGTGGTCAACGATCCGGCGACAGCTCCCCTGACAGAGGGGCTGACCGAGCGCGAGCTCTGCATGTCAGTACAATTCACGAAACACTTGGAGAAAGACCCGCACAAGCGTCGCGTCCACTCTCACCCTGACATGCACTCAAACCCCGATGATCTGGCCTTCGTCATTTTCACATCTGGCAGTACAGGAAAGCCTAAGGGAGTCGCAATGCCACATTCAACCTTAAGCAGCAGTATTCGCTACAATGGCTCCGCGATGAAAGTTAATGCGAGCACTCGCGCCCTACACCTCTCCTCTTACGCCTTCGATGTCAGTATCTATGAGATCTTCACAACGCTGGCCGCTGGAGGTTGTATCTGTGTGCCGTCAGAGTTCGAGCGATTGAACGAGCTGGCGGAGTCTATTCAAAAGTATGCCGTCAACTGGTCCTTTATGACTCCGTCGACGGCGCAAACTATCGATCCAGCTGAGGTGCCTAGTCTCACGACCCTTGTGTTGGGCGGCGAAGCAGTCATGCAGGAGCACGTTGACCACTGGTATCGTTCTTTGTCCAGTGCAATTCGGTCCCTCGTGAACGGTTACGGCCCCGCAGAGGCCACAATCTGCGCAGTAGGTCCCATTCAGAAGAACCATTGGAAGCCCGGGGTGATAGGGCACGTGGTAGGTGGCGTAGGCTGGATTACGAACCCTTCTGACCCTGCGCAGCTGATGTCAATCGGGGCCGTCGGGGAGCTGCTTCTTGAAGGACCTTTCCTCGCTCAGGGCTATTTGAATCAACCTGATGTCACCGCGGCCACATTTATAGACCCGCCGTCATGGCGCCTCCGCCTGCCTTTCCCGCGCAGCACCCGGGGGAAGATCCAACTCTATCGCACGGGCGACCTTGTGTAGTACCAGGAAAATGGCTCGATTCGGTATATCGGGCGTCGAGATACACAGGTTAAGATACACGGCCAGCGTGTCGATCTGGCTGGCGTGGAGGCGCAGGTCAGACTCGGGTTACCCGGTTGTGCGGACAGCCTGAAGGTTGTCGCCGAGGCTATTCAGCTACCGTTGGCCAATGATACAGCATCCACCCTGCTGGTAGCCTTTATTCAGCGCGTAGAGACCCCGGTACGAGGAGGGGGACGCCTCCTATTCCCCATAGACGCGGACTTCCAACACGCTATATCCCGCACGCAAACCTACCTCCAGTTCGTCTTGCCACTATACATGGTGCCTTCTGTTTTTGTACCACTCAGCCGCATCCCAAGCACGGTTACAGGCAAGGTCGACCGCCGCGCGCTGCGAGATGCTATTCTTGCTCTATCGTTGCAGGATCTGCAGCAATACCGGTCTAACAACGACCGCCGGACGAGTACCTCGACCTCGGTCCTCAGTGTGGCCGAGCAACGTCTTCAGACGATCTGGACGGATCTCCTCGGCGTCCCGTGTGGGACAATCGGGTCCGAGGATACGTTCATCGCTCACGGCGGCGATTCAGTTTTGGCCATGCGGATGATTTCCCGGGTGCGACGAGAGGGTTTTGCGTTCACCATCGCTGATGTGCTTAATAACGGGACATTGGCCCGTTTAGCCCAGAAAACGGCTACTTCTGCCCAGGAGAAGGCTCCTTTGCCTCTCTCGCCCGGAGTTATTAAGACTTGCCAACAAAGGGTGGGCCTCCCCCGCCCTGCCTCGGATGCTCAGGCATTTTTCATCCAGAGGTACCCCTGGACACATTGGCAGTTTAACATCGATGGTAAAGTAGATGTCAAACGATTGCGGAAGGCATGTGCGCATCTTATCGCTGCTCACAGCATCCTTCGAACCAGGTTTGTGCCTGGTGAAGCGTCGGGAACGAGACCGCTTCAAATCGTGATGCAGAGACTCCACACCCCGTTGCACACAGTCAGCACCGACCATGACCTCGAAAGCTACAGCAGGTCCCTTTCTCAAGACGAGCAGGATGTCGATGTCACTGCGGCCGACCCACCCACGCGGTTTACTTTGGTCTCCAACAAGTTCGAGGCAGCGCATGTTTTAATTGCTCGACTGTCGCATGCCTAATACGATGGTATCTGTGTGCCAAAGATTTTTGCGGATCTCCAGGCTCTCTATAATGGAGCCCACACCATTACCTCGACGGATTTCGAGCGATTCCTCGATGAGCGTAGCCTACACGAGAATAATCAGCGCGCACGACATTTCTGGCGTGACTACCTCGCCGGCTCATCACCTCGCTACATCCTCTCTCCAAATGCGCTATCATTATTCCTATCGTCCCCCGCAAGCTCTCCCCAGTCCCTTCCGTCTGTAATCTCAGCCTCCAACAGCATCCAGTATACCAACCTCCCTGCCGGACTAACACTCGCAATGGTGATCAAAGCATCCGTATCTCTCGTTCTCGCACGCCGAACTGGTCAAAGAGACGTCCTTGTTGGTCAGATCGTGAATGGGCGCAGCTTGCCAGTGGCCGGTATTGATGAGATCGTCGGGCCCTGTGTCAACTGTATTCCCTTTCGCGCAACTATCCGTCCGAATATGACGGTTTGTGAATACCTACGCCATATCCAAGACCAACATAATGGCAGCATGGACTACGAGGGAGTCGAACTCTCAACAATCATCCGCGATTGTGCACGGCATCTTCTCGATGAAAATATGAATCTAACAACAAAGTCGAAAGCATCAAAAGACACGCATTTCGAGTTTGGTATCATCCTCCAACACCAGAATATCGACATGGACCTGGGCTTGAATCTTGCTGGCGCGCGGTATAAGTCGTTTACTTCGTCCGGCTCGCTGCGTCCAGGTTCTGAAGTATGGATCTGCTCCACGCCGCGGACGTCGGCAGTCGAGGTACAGGTTATCGGCTCAAGCAGGATCCTGAACAAGGAAATCGCGAAGAGTTTGGTTGATGAGATTTCAGCCATGACAAGAATTCTTCTCAGGAACACGGATATAGACATCGATATCTACCGGGTGGCCTTCTGTGACATAGAGTGAGTAATTGGCAAGTGTTTGGCCCGCTGGTATATAATGCGTGGACATAATGATTAATGAAGTAGATTGCCATTAAAAGCTTTAATTAATATTCTTTATCTCCGAGTGTCTTATTTCGTATTGAAGGGGAATGGAGTGGTGTCTGCAATAATAAGCAAGCGAGGGGAAGCCTGGAAATGACCTCTATAAGGCGCAAACAAATGCTAATAATAATTCATAACAATAATGACTAACTCTCTGCTCAAATATCTGCTCACTGCTCGCACGCATATCATCTCATGTGTCTGCGCAACGGCAGGCCGCTACAGTGCAATATATGTAACCCTAAGCAATATATGTTGGATTTAGCGTGGTAATTTTTTACTCAAAGCTTTCAATTGAAAATCATTGGAAAGTGTTGCAAATTCTTGTGTTTTTCTCCTTTTTTCGTAATTGACAAACTTGCACCTAATTTACTAAAGAGGATGTCCTCAGTTTTGAAGATTTCAAACCCCGCAATTTTACATGCGTTTTCATCTAATTGGTCAAATTTCCGCCTAGTCGAAGTCGACTTGGCGACGAATCGGAGCATTCCAAATATGCACCCATACTAATCTAACTACAGTATCTTATTTACACTGCTAGCCTAGCGCAGAGTATGAAGATCATTCCGTACCCCGGCACTGCCAGGCGCAGCGTATACATCAAGATCTCATCTTCTATTTCATGGGCCTCCTTGCGCATCATCTATTTTATAGTTCCTAGTTAAATTTCAGGGTGGGTCTACGCAAAGTAAAAATCCTCTTGAAATTTTATGCTTGGAGCCTTCTTGACTTAAGATATTGTTCTGGCTGTTCCTTCATCCATAGGGCATATATATACCTCGGTAGGCTCGGGGTGCGCGCGGTACTTCCGGTCCTATAAAAAAACAAGCGATCACAAGGAAGAAGAAGATCTCAAGGGTCATTTGAACTGGATAGGCCAAAGGTGTAGTGGCATGCCTGCATATATATATATCTTCATGCTGTGCGAGCAGCTACGTTACATATCGTGTTACTCAACCTCTCCCCATAGTGTAAGCACTATCGGCATCCTCCCAATCCCCATACTAAAATGATCCTTCCCGTCATCGAGTAATGCTCACCGTCCTCGCCGTCGGGGAAAGAAATGTCGTACGTCATGATTAACCGGGCAATTTTCGTGCGGATGTTCATTAGCGCGAGGGGTTTGCCGATGCAACTGTAGGCGCCTGTGGATGCACCAACATTCTAGAGGGTTATAGGGGGAAGGGGGTTGTGATGGAAGACGTACCAAGTGAGAAAGGCGTATACGCCGATCGAGCCTTGAGTAGCTCCGGATGGCTGTACCACCGTTCAGAGATGAACGAGAGGGGATCTGAGTAGACTTCGCTCGCTGAAAGTATTGAGCCGTCAGCAATTGCCTTCAAATCTGAGTAGCGGCCACAAGAGGAATAAAGATAAAGGGCACGTACACCGCCCAAGCACCCATTGCGAGCAGAAAACCGTTACACTCCCGGAATAAACGTCCCATTCCCACAGTAATCCCTTCACGCGGCGTATCCCTAGGAATAAACTTGGAGCCGGCGGATGAAGTCGTAGCGTCTCGTTGATGAACCCGCCGAGATGCGGTAACTGCGCGATCGTGCTGTGTAGGTAGTCTCCTGACGGATCGCGCTCGATGGGTGCGAGTTCGGCTCGGAGTTTGTTGACTTCGGCGGGGTGACGGGCGAGGCGATAGAGGAGGGTTGTCAGGGTTGTGGCGGTTGTGTCGCTGGGGTTGTTAGTGCGGGCTGCTGGGGGAGACTGGTGCGAGGGAAGGGAGGGGATGGACAGGGTGGGATGTACCTTCCCGCTGTGATGACGAGCATGGCGTTGCCCATGAGGAGGTTGAATTCGTCCATCGTCGGGGGCTTTCCATTCAGTGGAGCAAGGAAGGAGGCACAGATATCTGGGATTTCCACCTTGTCCTATACATGGCGTCAACAATCACTCACGGATTCTTTCCCTCATAAAGTGGCCAGGTGAAAAAAGAAGGAGGGGGAGGGAGACCTACACCCATCCTATCAACAAGCTTCCGCGTCGCAAACCGCACAAATTGATGAAAGTCACTCGTCAGCGCCGGCATCGTAATAAGACATCTGAACACCCAACTGGGGAGATAATACTGAAAGGGCACAACCCCCTTGAGCAACACCTCAATCGCCCAATGATTCCGGCTTGTATCCAGCATGCCGAAGCTCCGCCCGAAGGCTAGATCAGCCATTACGTCGTAGCTGTACAGGTTGAACTAGTCGCTGACGTCGACTGTTTCTTTTTGGTCGGCTAGCAAACGTAGTTGGTTAAAGAGTTTCTGGCGATAGACCCGGATCCGGGATTCATTCCCGCGCAGTCGCGCGTCGCCGAATGCTGTGCTCCATACCCGGCGCCGCGTATCGTGCTCAGACCGGCTTCGGTACACGTGTAGTGATTTCATCGGGTGCCCGTTGTCGTAGAAGGTGCTTTTCGTATAGGGAGAGCGCGGGCCGTAGATTTGGGGGACGGCGGAGGGGTGAAGGATTGAGACGTTTGAGGGGCCGACGCGTACGACGGGGCCATATTGCCCGTGGAGATCGTGGATGAGTATGTAGGCTGGTCGATAGTGGAGTTTTGCTGAGAGCCAGAGGCCTGAGATTCGGGCAAGGTAGGGGCCGGGGATATGGTTTAGTGGGTGGAAGTGTGCGCGGTACAGGGTGAGGGAGCCGAACACGCCAAAGAAGTAGGCAATGGCTAGGTCTGCCGTAGTCTTTAGGGAGGTGTAGGCTGTGATGTCTTTGGTGAGGTGGAGGGCTACCACGGTTGCGATGATGATTGATGTGTACAATAGTATAAAGCGAAGCGGTTATAGATGGTGTTCGCCTCCTTGAAGTCTAGCTGGTGGGATAGGATGTCGATGGCACCTGCCAGTAGGTACGGTCGAGTCATGGCGTAAGCAGACAACTCAGTAATCCCGACAGCTTTGTCTTCGTTGGTGAAGGAATCAAGACAATTACGTAGATGGATGGCGAGGGGACCTCACCCTCACCAGGATCGGGCAGCTATTCCAGGCCCAGCCATGGCAATACTTATTTGGCGGTTAAACCGACGAAGAGATGCATAACAGGTTTGAGGGATACGACATGTCTGCTGCGCAGTACAATGTACCTTCCTGTGATCTGCACGCAACATGCCTATGTATCCCTTACCTACCACAGCGTCTCTCTTACATGGCCTCATCGAGAAACTGCTTGTTAAGGCATTCTTGTTCGAGTGCAAGGCTGAGTCCACTAATATATCCCTTGCATTCTCTGTACTACTCTGCTTCGACCCCACAATATGCGCTTGGTGAACAGCCACGGCGACTCCCGCTGCGGTTTGACTGAATTGTCGAATCGAGACGGGGAGCATCCTGAAAATACCGGGGTACGAGGGAAAAGGTACTCTCGCCGCAGCCCCATTGGAACCGACCCTGCTAGAGGCGACGATAACCACTGACGGGATACAAATAGATATTATTCACAAAAACCAGCGTGAAGGATACTAGTTTCCTCAACAGCGTAGGGATAGCGGAGAGGCATCGCTAAACTTAACCTCTTGTTGGTCTAGAGAGGTTTACAATATATTCGTATGCAAGTACCACAGTAGAATAATTGGGACTTGAACTAACTTACGGGATATATACAAAGAGAAAAGAGTACTGTGGAAATACAAGGTTAATGGAGATTATGTATGGCTAAGAGTCCAAAGAAGCTGGTGCTAGAAGCAAAATGTGTTCTAACACTCGTGTGAAATTCCCCTACTACTCCTCCTTATCGGTCCATGGGTAGTCAGAAGACGAGTGATAGTAGACGCTCAGGTACACACCAGTCTTCTCGGTATACGCAAAAGAGATCCAAGAGGTCAAACAAGCTGTTTTGCTCAAGTCTCGCTCTGGGCTATCACGATGTTAGTTCAGTAATTTGAAGGACGATTCAACAAAATATGAACTCACTAATACTCCCGCACTTTTGCTCATAGCTCCTCCCCTGTTCGACAAGCCCAATCTCCTCAAAAAACGTCGCCAGCCCCCTTACAATGGTAAGATCACTCCCACCATGGATTGGGAAGTAGACCTTAGAAAGAGGCTCAGGACTCCCAGGCCTCATCTCATAGTTCCAGACAAGAGGCGTAGGCGTCGAATCAGTGCCATTATCGAAACGGCCCGTAAAGGCGCGGCATCCATCCCGAATCTGCGTAAGTTGCCACAGGCGCTTCAAATACCCTAGTCCCCTCATGGTCGTCTCGCCAGATAAGCGGCCTCCCAGGGTCCAAATCTCCTCCATCTTCGACCACGTTACGATATTCGTCGAGCTGTACAGTTAAGCCTCGACTTGGCAGGCGCAACACAGTCCCAACTGAGGAACGCGAAGTTGCTATACCCATCCGTCTGCTCCATGTACTCGTCGATAACATTGAAGGCTGAAAGATCGCCCATACTATCGCGCAACGGCTCAATAGACTCGTTGAATAGCCGCCCAAAGTCAGTGCCCATGGCCTTGCACTTCAGTGCGGGGAACGTGTACCCTTTCACAGCGATCGGCCGTCCTTGAGATCAAACCCGAAGGCTACCTGCGAGCGTCAGTCCCATAAACCCGTTTTCCGCCTAGTGCCTTCCGCTCGGATTCTTCACCGTGTGTCTTGCAATGAAGTGCTCGAAGAGGGTTGTATTGTACCCCGCCAAACCCAACTCCTTTAAACGGGTGAACAACTCGCTCATGGCGACTTGATTATACAGATCCCGCTCCGTCCCGGAGTGCGCACCGACGGGCTCAAAGCCAATTCTCCATACTGGATCGCCGCTGCTATGCTGTGTGTAGTTTGTGCTGAATTCGAGGGGCAGGCCGCTGCGGGTTATGGTGCCCTTGAAGATTTGCGGGTATGGGCCCATCAGCGGGATTAGGGTTTGCGTGTGGAAGGCCATGTATCCCTCGCGATGGGCGGGGGGTAGTTTGATATCGAGAGCATCTTTGTGAAGAGGGGGGTTGTTTTTGATAGCCAGATTTGTTGGGAGGAGGAAGGGGAGTCGGATTCGTCCTTGATGGATTGAATGACGATTGTAGCGACATGGCCCTTAGGAGGGTGCTGGACGTCGGGTTCGGGGTGTTGTGTGGTGTTGGAGGTCATTTTGGAGGTGATTTGGTCTTTGAGAGTGTGTAGATTGAACTTCCCTCGGCACAAAATGAAACAAGCAAAGCAGAAGTACAGAATGGTTCCACCTCCGGAAAATTGCATTTACAAGCCTTCAATTACCGGCAATAGAGAGTACATAGATAAAGCTGAACACAGACGGACTGTATCCGTCAGATCTATCCATTCCCAAAATGCGGTGTGCAAAACAACAGTCGAGACTACACTGGCATGGAGGCATACTAGGGACCCTCGCGTTGATTAGCAGTGCGATAGATGTACGTGGTGCATAAGTATGGTATGCAAGCGGGGCAATTTTTATCACATCGTAATTATGAGAGTACATGCAGCGTCGGGTCTGACTTGTCGCTGCGGCCAGCTGCATCCCAGTTAAGACTTTATCGGCCCTTACCATCAATATGCTTTCAACGTTATATGAATGAGCGGCAAACAGATACCCTATCAGCCCTCCGGATTCCTCCAAAGCCTTCAAACATCTGCTCTTTCGCGCATCTTGACATAGTACTCACACACACACACACAACCCCCCCCCCCCTGGCACCAAAGCCTGCTCCTCCACCACCATGGCCTCAATACCCACCGACCCGAACCCCGTAATCGAAACAATCGATCTATCCGCCTACCTAGCCAGCGCCGACCCTAAAGCCCGAAAGTCAACAGCAGACCGACTCGTCGACGCCCTCTAAAGTATCATATTGAGTTTCAAATGAAGTATCAGTATATCGATCCGGAGAAGAAGAATTAGAGAGATGCTTTAGTTATTACAACTACAAATGGGTCATTTCTTTTCATTGCCGCATTATATGACTTCAGCGTCTGGTGGGGGTATTGAGCGATACTTTGATGGACGGAATAATTTGCACTAGGTAGCCCTAAGTTGGAAACAGCCCCTACTCAGGTCCGCGGCCCCGGCGAGAATGTCAATAATCCAAACTTCAAATAAAACTACCAATCAAGCATGCGGGAAATTCACGCCGTAAAGATTCGTGCAAGTGATGTGGCTACGATTTTAGCTAAGCGTTCCTTACAGCGTTAAGAAAAGGGTCCCCCTTGCAGAAGCTCAGGTTAGCTTTAGGTGTAGCACAACATACAAGGGTGCAGAGAGGGCCTTACATATATCACATTCCATGATCTTACATTTCATTTAGCGGTTTTTTTTTAATTTAAAGCTCCTCGGCGAATGTTTTCTACGTTATTCTAGAACTACCCTGGTCTATGTGGCTCGTCCTCGATTCCGACCTTTTTTTCCTTTGCATCCTTTCGGTAACACAGAAAAATGGAAGGGAACAGTCCGCACGAGGCGATTCCGAAGTCGCCGAGCACATCTGTTGCTGCTGCTCTACGCTACTCCTCTCAGGCGGACCTGAGCAAGGGGTGGGAAGCGAATGTGGTGCCTCTCGAGACTGAGGAAACAAATGGGCAGCATGAGCAACTGGAAACCCCCGCAGAAGCATATCAGTCAAAATCGAGACTTGCAGCTATTATGGTTGGGCTCGCTTTATCGTGCACACTGGTGGCGTTGGTATGTCTTGTCTGCGAAGCAACAAACCCCGAAATGGGGGATTGCAAAGAAGCTAATGTTACTTCTGTTCGATTCTACAGGACAACACAATACTAGCAACCGCAATCCCAAAAATCACAGCCCAGTTCGACTCCCTGGGTGACGTCGGCTGGTACGGGAGTGCCTTCCTCCTGACAAACTGCAGCGTGAGCCTGCTCTACGGGAAATTATACACATTCTTCCCCGTGAAATGGGTATACATGTGGGCACTCGCCGTCTTCGAGATCGGATCCCTCCTCTGCGGGGCAACACCGACCTCCGTCGGCCTTATTATCGGACGAGCTATCGCAGGCGCTGGCGGCGGTGGCCTCTTCTCCGGAGCGATGCTCATCATCGCCGAGTCGGCGCCGATGCACCAGCGACCGATCTACAACGGGATCATAATAGCGATCTTCTCTATCGCGGGTGTTGCGGGCCCGTTACTCGGCGGCGCGCTGACGGATAATACGACCTGGCGATGGTGTTTCTATATCAATCTTCCTCTGGGGGCTGTAACGTCTTTGGTTATCGCCTTCTTCCTAAAGGCAAAGAAGCCTGTTAAGACTATTGCTGGGGTGAAGGAGAAGTTGGTGCAGCTGGACCCGGTTGGGCTTTTCTTTTTCCTGCCGTCCATGATCTGTTTGTTGCTTGCGCTACAATGGGGTGGCACGGAGTATCCGTGGAGTGACGCACGGGTTATTGCTCTATTCGTGGTCTTTGGAGTCCTGTTCCTTATTTTTGTTGGCGTGCAGTGGTGGGAGCAGGACCAGGCTACCATCCCCCCGAGATTGTTCCAAAACAGGAATATCTGGGGTGCCTCACTCTATATTCTCTGTATTAGTGCTTCGGTCATGGCTTTGACATACTACGTGAGTCGTCTCTCCCCCTCCCCCACGTTCCTGAATCCGCTAACAACCACCTCCAGCTCCCAATCTGGTTCCAAAGTGTAAGAAATGCCACAGCCACAATGTCCGGTGTAATGAACCTCCCCATGCTCATCACCCTCGCAATCTTCACAATCCTCTGCGGCGCCCTCGTCACCGCATTTGGCTACTACATGCCCTTCATGTACATCGCGCCAATCGTAATGACAATCGCCGCCGGTCTCCTCACAACCATAACACCAGACTCCCGCCCCGCGCAATACCTCGGTTACCAAGCCCTCTACGGAGTCGGCTGCGGCGCCGGAATGACGCAGCCCATGCTCGCCGTACAGGCTGCCGTTTCTTCGCTCGACGCACCCAGCGCGACGGTGATTATCGTTTTCATGCAGACATTAGGCGGCGCGCTGTTTATCTCTGTCGCGCAGAATATATTTCATAATAAGCTTTTGGTGCTGCTCGCCAGGGAGGCGCCGGACGTTGATGTTGGGAAGGTGGTTTCGGCGGGGGCGACGGGATTGAGGGCCGTTGTTGATGAGGATGCTTTGCCCGCTGTGTTGGACGCGTATAGTGGTGCCATTACGTATTCGTTTTATGTTGCTGTTGCGCTCGCTGGAATTGCGATTTTGGGGGCTTTGCCGATGCAGTGGCTTTCGTTAAAGAAGATTTCTTGACTCGTTACTGGCCTACCAGGAACATATCACCCTTTTTTTTCCCTTTTCCTCTTTCTTGTCAAGGGTAAAATGAATTATGAGAAGGACCGTTCGATACTAATCATATTGGTGTCATATTGCTCGAAAACTAAGCTTAGGAAAGAGAATTATAATACAGAGAAGACTTGAAGCTTTTTGGTGTGCGCGCAAACATGTTGCACGTCTTTAGGCACCGGATGCAAACAATACAAACATAAAATTGATATTAAGGTCTAAGGTCTGATGTTACGAAACCAACATATGCGAAGCTAAGGACAGATTAGGATATCTTAAGCTACTTTAAAACAAGTGGTCCTTAAAGTAGCTAATATTATAATCAACCAATTACTATAGCTGAGCACTACCTATTTACCATTTATATAAAATTATATTTTATATTAATTTGAGAGGCCGCTTTGGAATCTGTAGAGTTCTTATTAGATAAAAGATAGAGGCGTTATACTGCTTAAGTACTAGAGTTATCTTAGAGATATTTAGTAGTAAGTATTCTGCTAATCATCTTTAGAGAGAAGGATTTATATATTCAATCTAGGAAGCAGTTTTTAAAAGATAGAATCTAGATAGATTCCAATCTCTAAGACTTTTTTAATATAGCGCCTCTATTAGCGCGTAAACTAGCTTTATATCTTTAAAAAGATTTTTTAGGGAGCTTTAAGATGATAATATTCTTAGACTATTATTTTTTATCTCTAAATTTTAGAGTATTAGATATAGAGATAGTATTATAGAAAGCTTTAAGTAAGTATATAGATACTAGACTCTAGTCAGATAGCTTCTACCTAGATAGTAAATAGATAGAGGTAGAAGTAGTCTATAAAGCCTCTAATAAGTTTTAAAAGATATAGTTAATGCTTTTAGAGAAGAGTAAAGAAATGTTTAATATTGAATTAATAAGTATTATAGAAGTATTAGAGTGAGTACTTAATAAAGGCTTTCTAGATATAATTAATGTATTCTTAGATTTATAGATTGCTATATATTGTCTAAGATATAGCATATCTGGGCCTGATCAATATCTTGTGTTCTAGGTATACAGCCTTGCTAGATGTCTACTAGACAGAGGTCAACAGGTCACTATCCATTGGGTGCCTGGACATAAAGGGGGCCTTGGCAATGAGGAAGCAGATAAAGCTGCTAAATAGGTGATAGTAATGTCCCAGAGCACTAAACACCCAGGTATCTTGCTCGCTCATGTTAACTGGGTCTGCACAGAGGCTTCAGGGGTGCAGTGGGCGGCCTGGCTCTCTAGAACGCTGGCTGCCAGGGCCGCGAACGCCAGACTAGGGCGGCAACGCTATAATCTCCCCCAGGGTGGTGTATCGATCCAGTGGCCGCCAGCGCCCCCAAGCGGGTGGCACGGCACCTATATCAGTTTAAGACTGGGTGTGTCCTGACAGCAGTGTATTTGTACTGAATCGGTAAGCGCGACACCCTTAGCTATGGGGGCTGTTTGGGAGGCTTGGAGACCATTAGACACGTGCTATTCCAATATATATAGTAGTAATAGTAGTGAGAGGCTCTATATAGAAGTCTCTTAGAGATAAGAGTTAACAGGCTTTTAATGATAAAGAACACTTTAAAAGTATACATATTAAAGGACTTGAAAGCTATTAAGACTCTATTAGACTTTATAAAGACTATTAAGACTCTAAAAAATTAATAAGAGATCATTATAGGCTGTCATTTGGTTCGGTTCGGACCGAACCAAAACCGATCTGAAACCCGAATGGTCCGGTTCTGGTCCTATATACAGTGAACCGATGTGGTTCGGTTCACCAAGTCCAGAACCATATGATTTTTTAGGGCCCATTTGGGTCTGGTTCGGTTTGAGTTTTCAATTCGGTTTTATCTGAATATCTGAATACTAATGGATTTTCATTAATAATATTAATATATTTAGGGTTAACTCTAATCCTTTATAATTATTATTGATTATTGATTATATAATCATTTCCGAAGCAGCTTTTCATGAATTGAATTCTTATTTTTTGAATTAGGACTTTATTTTAGATATTTTTATAAATATTATAATGAATTCTTAATATTTAAATTATAATTTAAGAATTATCTGAATAATATAATACTTTTTCTATTTTTAATATATATTTTTTTAAATTATATTATATAGTATATTTAATAAAGTAAATATATATATATTTCTATATTTATTTTATAGTATTTATTATTATCTATCTATTTTTTAGTATATCTCAATAATCAGATAAAAAATTATAATTTAAATAATTAATTATAATTTTTATATTATTTATCTATCTAATTCACTAAAATTTAGAGAGATTTTAATATATTTTTAAGAATAAAATCTAACTATAATTAAAAATTCTTTTTTAGCGTGATTTGGTTTTGATTTGAAGAGCTAGAACCGTTCAGTTTTCGGTTCTGGTTCCAATAATAAGGATCAAACCGAACTGACCCACTTTTGGGTTTGGTCCAGAAACTCAGGACCAGAACCGAACCAAATGACAGCCTAGATCATTAGATAGACTTAAAAAACTAATTTATAAAGATAAAAGAACTTAATAAAAATTATCTTAATAAGCTCTTTAATAAAGGTCTTAAAGAGATTTTAAAAGAAAGAATAATAGAACTAAATAGTTTATTATTAATAGATAATATCTATATATATAGCTTCTAAGAGGGGATTTAAAGCTTTATTAGCTTTAAGAAGATCTCTAAATTATCCTATATAAATAAACAGCTTAAAGCAATAAAAAAATCAGATTAGCTATAATATATAAAACTGTGAGACAGTTACTGGAAAGCAGGCAAACATTAGGATTTATTGGTCGAACATAGGGCTCCAATTAGATACAGACTGATTGCTAATCTACAGTATATATAACCGCAGATACAGATTATATAATATCTTAGCTAGCTAATATCTTAACAATAATATTATAAGATCTTCTAAAAATGTCTTAAAGATGTCAAAGAGTTATAAACCTCTTATAATATATAAAGCCTCACATTATCTTTCCTTTTAATAGAATTAATATTTCTAAACTAATTCTAAAATATATAACAAATTAGAGATGATCTAATAAATAATAATTTAATATCAATACAGCTATATTATATATTAATTACCATGTATATTACTTAATAGATAAATAAATAAATTTATTATTATATATTATATTCATACTATTATTATTATAAACATTCATCTATTTATTATATCTCTAAAAATTTTCTTTCTTTTTATAATATTATTCTATCTAATATATTATCTCTCTATATAGTTTTTCTATTTTTTCTAATTCTATATTGTCTCTATATAAGTAAGTGAGATTATATATATATATATATATATATCTATAGATTTATCTTCTTATATATCTATATATATATCTATTAAAAAATCTAGTACTAATATAAAATAGTACCTCACTATTTACATAAAGACTTATACACTCACATATCTGTCCATATATTACCCTTCTTTATCTATTTTTTCTTATCCTCTTTAAAAGATAAAATTATCTCTCTACTTATAAAATAGAATAAGAAAATAATTAACATCATTCATAATACTCTTATAAATCAAGATTAGTTAATAGAAGAGTAGGACTTTTTGCGCCCACCTGCTGCTCACACTTGCTCAGCCTCCCCTGCGCGTCCCTCGCCTGCCTCTGCGCCTCGCACCCTCTCGCCTGTGCCCGCGCCTCGCACCCCCTTGCCTGTGCACCGCTCGCCTGCCCGCTGCGCTCGCTCTACCCCCCACCTAAAGTCCACCATGTCCCTATGGCCTCATAGGTATAAAAGCCCTCTACCCTGCTAATAATATCTTTAAGCCTTTAGTAATAAGCCTGATCTTATCTATAATAATGTAGTTATTAGCCCTTATATATACTATAAGCGTTTAAAAAAGTCTATAATCAACTATAAAATAATAAATATCTTTCTTTATATATATTATTATCTACTCAGTCTATTTAGATATTTAATTTTATATATTAAATATCTTCTTCTTATACATCTAAATACTTTACTCTATACATTCAGATATTTATTAATAAATCATAGATACTAACTAAATAAGAATCCTTTATTTATAAGATAATTAAGAAGATACGCTCTCAATCTAAGAATTAAAAAGAAATCATTATAAGTTTTAATATAGCTATATATTATTAATAGACTTTTTAATCAGCTAATCATCTTAAAGAGTTAGTTAATATAATCTCTATACAGTAAACTAAATCTATACTTATATCAGATACTCTTAATTAAAGAAATAAATATCTACTAACTTACTATAATATTCTAAAATCTCTATTTAATACAAATTAGATAATTAGATTAAACATTTTTATAGATCTTTATAATTTATATAGCTTATTCACTTCTAATTATAGAGATTTAATGGAATTAATATCTATATAGAATAATCATCTTATATATTTAATTTATTATATATTTAAGATATAACATAATCTAAATAATTATATTCAGATTTTTTATAAATAGTTTTTTTTACTTAATCTTTAAATATTAAAATTTATTAAGTCTTTAAATATTATAATATCTTTAATATATTTTTTAGAGTTTTTTTTATAAATATATTTAAATTTCTCTTTAAAGATTTAGATTTTTAATTTAATTTTTTATATTATAAGTGTAATCTATAAATCTAATTTTAAGAGTTATTCTTTTTTTAATCTTTTCTTCTACACTTAATATATAACTTTCCTATAATAGATTCTTTAATCTTATATTTAAAATAGATATTTAGAGCTTTAATATCTTATAAAATCTTTATTAGCTTTTAAATTACTTCTTTAATAGATCAGTTTTTTTATTAAATTAGATACTAAATCTATTATTTATAGATTTATTCTTATATAATATCTTATATTATATATTTAGATATATTATTAATTAGAATCAATTCTATTAGTATAAAGCTTTTTATAATAATATAGTATAATTTTAATAGAAATATATAAAATATTAGATATAAGCTTTTATATTTTAGAATTAAGTTTAAACAATAGATATTTATTTTTTATATTTCTAATATTCAGAAAAAATCTATTTAATGATCATCTAGTTTCTTTAAATATTAAAATAATATTATATTCTTTATCTAAAATATAATTTGATTTTCTATTTTATAGATCTTTTCTATCTTTTAGTGATTATAGAATTTTAT